GTTAAGCGCCAAGCAAAACAAATCATAATCTCCGAGTCCTTCAAAGTGTTTTTTCGTTTCTGGTTCTTGAAATATGACAACGCGTGCCATTTTACTGTTTACACACATTCCGAATTGCCTCCTTACGGTCGTAAGGATACTTTTCTTTATAGCCCCCCTCCCGAGTTCCAAAATACACCCCTCCATTTCTCATCGTCTTATGTGAAGCTGCTCCCTGGAGCATATGAAAGGGAATCCTTACGCATGTGTGGGACTGCGATTTGCTTGTTTGAACAACTTCTTGGAACTTGACAAATCTACATTAATATTTTGACATAAGCTGAATAAATTCTTAAGAGTTTTATCCCTTTAGTTCTAAAACTTTTAGTAGAAAAAATACAAAAATGTTCTGAGATATAAATATATTTAATCTACAAATTCAAATCCAGCACCTAATTTTTTTTGTCCCTCTTCCCGTTCTAAATCTAAAAACATGTTTGCTTATTCTAAACATATCCCCAATCATCCATAATTTGATCACGTTTGCGGCTGTCATGGATATTTTTACATATTCCATGTAAATCAATTCATCCTCCATTTTTTTCTCTATCGTCCAAAACACGCACCGCAAATTTTTTGCTTTGGTGGTCGTTGGGGCTTATTGATGTGTAATAAACCCAATTGCATTTGTTTTGAATATATAAATAAATCATAAAAAAGAACAAAGGTTACGCCATTTTTTGTTAGATGATTGTTTTGTTGCTCCCTCTTCCGTTTCCGCTTTGTTGCTGCTTTTATTTCGTTTCCGCTCGCTTTTCTTTTTTTTTTTTGCGTTGAAGAACGTGCGTGGCATACTAATATGGACTAAATGTCGGGAGGAGAGAAGAAGGAAATGGGCTGGGGAAAAATAGATACGGGTCCTATCCGAAAATCCTGCCCCTTGGCTTCGCATACATTTGATTAATCAAACAAAAAGTGTTGAAAATGTTATTTTGCCAGCCTTGCAAATGGCGCATTTGGATTTTTATGTGCCACACTGATTTTTACGATATACACACACACTCATCACAAAAAGCCACAAATTGGGCTGTCTCGGCCTAAATGTAGCCATAAACTTGTCAGGATAAACATTTACAAATCATAAAACCTACCCCGAACCCAAAATTTCAATACGTTCAATCAGCCATGAAATTTGCGATGATTTCTGGACCCATTTTTATGCTTGAGAACAAGTCAAAGTGGAGTAAAAGTGTCGGCGCAATTGCTCATTAAGCATGCCAAGTGCACAGTGCGCGTCATAAATCTATAGACCAGTCCGAGCAATTAGTCAAAGGATGGACTGGGATGGGAGACAAATTACAGGGAAGGCTAAAGGAAAAGCCTCTGACTTTGCAGGGAAATTATAAAAAAGGAGAGGGGTAAGCTGAAAGAAAAAGCTTCCAAACCGCTTTCCCAGCAGCTTCATTAAGGCACATGTGTGTGAGTAAGAGTGGTTACACTGGAAAAAAAACATACTTAATTTATTTACTTTTACTACAAAATAATAACAGATTTATTTAAATTGGTTTAATATTATTTTATAGTAGGTAGACAAAATTGTATTTAAAAAAACTGTTCGGAAAAATTGAAGAGGGTACCAAATTGATAAATATATATTCTGGAAAACTGATTACCATTAGCTAGTTTAACGACTTACTAAAAGATCTAAATAAATCGATTTTTAGTATTATTTCCTAATTCTCATAATTCTTTTAGATAGACCTGAGAAACCTTTTGTTTTCTGTGTAAAGGAGACTGAGTGGATCGGAAGCCGGAGCCATAACGACGACTCAACTGGCAGTTTGTCATTTAACATTTGGCAAACGTATTAAAACACCCCATCATTGCCTTAATTAAGAGCCATAAAAGCACATTTACTTATTGTTCGACTCTGTCTCTGTTTCTGTCTCAGTCTCTTTTTCCGTTTTCCATCTCTCTCTACAGCTTTTTCCGCGTCTCATGGCACGTCTTTGTGCTTATTTATCCCGGGGATCCCTTCAGTATAACACCCATACATCCCACTACTTTGCTGGGAAAACCCAACCCACTCTACCATACACTTTACCATCCTCCCAACGTCCATTTGTCGTGCTTAATTCATGGCTAAAGTTGGAATTAAGTGAATTTTACGTTCATTAACGTGCGAGGGTTGTGCTCTACGTGTGTGCGTGAGTGGGTGGTTGGGTGGTTGGGTGGTTGGGTGGCTTTGGGAGCCATGTTTAATGGCCGGTGGGTGGAATGTGGACTCAGTGGGCTGGGGATGGTTCAAATGGTAAATGGTGGTGGACTGTTGCTGATGGCGGCTACAGAATAGGTGGATAGGTGGAGGTTAAGCGGGCTTTTTGCGCCTCAGACAGTGTTGATAATTAGCCGAGCGTCTAATGCTGCACTAATAACGTAAATTTGTGGCACAGTTAACGGCCGGGATCGCAGGGGTTAGGACGAAGGTAAAATTGTACGACCCGAGGTGGCAAATCAATGTCTAGTTTGGCTCGCCACAAATTTAGCGGACAGTCGATTAACTAAGCTACGATTTATTACTTTTATTTGCTATATGTTCAGTATTAGATAAAGAAAATAAAATAGCGATTTCACTGCTGATGATTGTAGTTGGCTACTACATGAAACATGCATGTACAGTGAAGCCTCTTCGCTTCTTTTTGTGTGTTGGCATAATGCCGACGTCTTGGACTTCTTGAAGTCTAAGCAGGCATGACCTCGAGTTTGCTAAAAACTTCTCTATAAAATATTTTTAGTTATATTAAGAGTATTTTTATACACAGTATATTTTGCGGACTCTAAAATATGGATATGATAACTATCAAAATGCAAACTAAATCATTTTCCTAAAGATTATTATATTTCAAAAATACTTTAGTGTAGTAAACAAACAAAATAGAAAATATAATAATAACCTAAATTAAATCTTAAAAATGGAACAATTTCCGCCACAAACGACTGCTACTAATTGGACTCACACAACTTTCGACTACCGAACTACACATGTGAAAAGTTTGCGAATGTCCTCGAAAACTTTCAAGTCCAGAGCTATCACAACCGACTAACTAGCCCGAAATGTTGACCACTATCACACACACACACACAAAAAGTGGAAATCTTTTGCCGAAAAGGACTAAAATGTGCCGCAATGCTGCGAATCGCCTGTTAATTAGTCTCACTTAGAAAATAAACTGCAGTAATTAAGAGCAGAGCGAGGCAAATAAAAAACCGGCAGTGGAAAATTCCCCCAGGCAGCCAACGCCCCGAAAAACTAGTTGAAGTTTTCCCCGACAGTTCCATTTCCCATTTCTACCCCCACCGGAGTGAGCATTTTAATTTCAACGCTAGAATTCTAATTAACAAACAAATCCGGCAGAATACACAGCAGTCGAGAGTAAAAAATACCCCAAGGAAATGGGGGAGTTGGAAAAGCTGCAGAAATGACAGCAAAAAAGTATGCTACATAAAAAAGGGAGAGAAAAGGAGGAAAGTAGGAGGAAAAACCCTGTGAGCCATGATCTCCCAATTTAATATTATAATTGCTACAATTATCATTCTCATGCCATTTACACAGCAATTGCACAAAAACAACCAACAAAGGAGCGCCGGAAAAAGAGAAGTGAAAAATAAACGGGGAGGGTGAAAAGCGGATCCGGATATGTACGCCAAATTGAAGCAATTACCGGGAGTCCCCCGTCGGAAAACTCTATATAAAGCCAAGCCTAGACTCCTCCCACAAAAGTGAAGCTCTCTCTCTCTCTCGCTTGCGCAGGCGCCAAAAGAAAGAAGGAAGGGGAAAGTGGAAAGAAAGAGAGGGAGAAAAAGAGAGATGGCTTCTTCCAAAAATAAAAGAATGTCTTAAGGGGAATTCCCCCCATTCCTCCGACTCTGATGATGATGATGGCGTTGATTATGTAGAAAAAAAATTCCAAAAATGGGCGAATAAAAAGTTAGGAAGTGGGAACATTTTTAAAAATTTATTACCCTCCCGAAAGAAAGTTATTTCAAAAGAAAGTGAAAACAATTTTCCCGCACCGAAGGCCACTTCTTATTAAGCCCACGGTCTCTATCTAAAAAACAACATTAATTGATTGTACATCGAGGATAATTGTTAAGTTTTTGGGGAGGAGGGCGCTGAAATTGATTACAAAATGTTTTTGCAGCTGTTATTATTAAATTAATTTGTCATCAAACAAAAGTCCCCACTCACAAATCTGCATAAAAGCTCGCTATCCAAGTTCGGGCTTACAGAAACATGACACGAAAATAATCACAAATGTTGTTGATAAAATCCCCAGACATGAGCGGGAATTTGTTTGAATATGGTGCACAAAAAGCGACAGAATGGGGGGTTATAGATTAGAAGTTCGTTCGTCATGTAAATGAGTTTTATCGCTCGGAATCTAACTAATTGAATTTGATAAATTGATAAAATATGGAAGCTATACCAGTTGGTTAAAGCTATTCGGTGCTCTAGAAAATGTCCCTTTAATAAAAATAATCAATTGTATTAGTAGTATTTATTCTAATACATTTTGGAATACACTTTATACTCATTGCTGTGAATGGTTGTTTAACTTACAACAGATTAGTTAAATCAGACAAAAAATCTATTTTAAAATCTTTAAAAATTCTTGTTTATGAAAATATATTAATATATTAAGCCGGATATGCAAATCTCTTTTGATATGGCTTAAACCTTCCTAGCCCAATTAATACCCCTTACAATTATGGAGCATTAAGTGTGACAGTTTTACCCCACTTGTCCGGAATTCCGACAGCTGGCCCACTTAACCACTCACCATATCATACGTTCCACTCCCCGAAAGTAAACCCACCCCCAAAAAAAAGGGGGATCATCAAAGGTGCAAAGTACAGTTAAGCAATAATCAATTGCTTAGCAATTGTTGTCATGTGCGATTCGAGCTTGTCATTCGATTTGTTGCTGCTCTAGTCATTGGGTTTTCAACAGAAGTCAACACCAGAACAGATAAAAGGCAACAGCAACATTGCAATGTGTAATTATCGTTGTCACTAATTAAAGTTGGATGACTAAAAAAGAAAACAGAACCACACCATTCCGAATCTTATCATGGGTGGCCAGGGGATTTTCAAGACACAGACTCGGTGGAAAGCCGAAGCAGACAACCTGGCGAAGTATATTTCATAAATCCTAATCAGCCGAAACCATTCTTTCTATTTTTTCTATTTCAGCTAGCGATAAGTCTGCGGAATTTATTAACCAACTTGGGTCTCGTTTTGGTTCTTGGGCCGTAAAGTCAATAAGTGTCTAAAATTAATGAGTTTTATGGAGCCGCACCTGAAAACATTTGACCTCAAGTACATAAGGTTGTTGCAAAGCTTATGATTGCTTTTAAATTTAATATTTCTTTTTTTTCGTTTATTTTTTTTAGTCTTGATGCCCATTTTGGAAAGAATCTTGCTAGAATTTTCTGGAACTGGACTCTTTACACGTCTTTTTTTTCATAACGATCACTTCTGAAGTGGATTTCTTTGAAGCTTCTGAGGATGAGGATTCCTCCTGTAGCTCCATGGGCGAAGAATTCCTAGATTCTTTCTTCTTTTTAGTAACAGGTTCCATTGGATTTGTTTCTCTGTTCTTTCGGCTTGGGATTCGGTGAGCTCATCGAAACCCAGCCGAATTCCAAGCCGAAAGCTTAGAGAAATCGAATCCAATGGAGGCTGCAACTAAAAAGGAGATAGAATCCAGGAATTCTTCGCACATGGAGCCACTGGAGAAATCCTCATCCTTAAAAGTTTCGGATAAATACCCCTTAGAAATGACCATTGTAATGAAAAAAGAAGGAATTAAGAAAGTTTCTGCTTAAATAACTTATCCCAAATCCGTAAAAGATTTGAAAAGGATTCCCTAGCTGGAACTCGATAATTCCCCAACCGATTCAAAGAAAGAAAATGTCAAATGTCCAGTAGAAGTTTTTGGTGTTCCTGAATCAGAATCGAAATCCACACCAGGACTCGCAACAATCAACGAATCTGCAGCATCCGCACCCTGGCCGAGCATTCCACACCCGCATCCTGCAGGGCCAAGAAGAAATTTTCTCTGCCCAGATGCGTCCGAGGAGAAGAGCAAGAAGAAGCTAGAGAAAGTACCGCTTTTGTACTGTCTTTTGCTTCTTCTTGCTCTTCTTCTCGAGACGCATCTGCCTGCCGTAGAAAAGCCTCAAGATGAAGTGGATAGGACTCACCTATTCCCAGTCCCTCCGCCGCATCCTTTGAGGTGGCTAGACCACATCACGCCGCAACACCGTATATGAGGTTTCACCCAATCCTAACAATATGATGAAGCGATCGAAGGCTAAAAAGAAGCTTAATCCGGGACGCAGCACAATCTGTGAGGAAGCCCGAGCAGCCCGCCCAGGGAAGAGATGACCGATTCATCCTCGAAACGCCAGCAATCCGAATCCGGCAAGAATCCAGTCACTTCTGAGCAGTGTTATGATCCAGTTTTTTTTTTTATTTGAAGAATACATTAGCATAATTTGTATTATAAATATAAAATGAAGCTGTTCTTATTATATCTGCTATGATAATTTTTAATTTATTATTTTATAAAATCGACTAATCGATTTCAATGTAATGCTTTAATTGCTTCCTTTCTTTTTTTGCTTTCTATTTATTTGAATTTTTTTAAACGGTTTCTTTTTAACGGGTTTTCCACTATTTTCAATTTTTACAAGCAGTTTTTCCCTTTTTCGATTTTTACAAGCAGTTTTCCCCATTTTTTTCGATTTTTACAAGCAGTAAGTGCAAGAGCGGAAGAGCGAGCGTAAGAGAGCGTTAGAAAATGGAAAGAGTTTCACAAAGAGAGTCGACCAAGAGTTCACGGGATTTTTTAGGGGATAGGCAACATTTTCATCTGGCAACACTGACCGCATTATTATTATTATTATTCTACAACAATTTTATTCGACAACAAAATGCGGAGCCAGCGGTTTCTGTTGGTGGCCATTTTGGCCTGCCTTCTGGTGGCCATAAAGTCCACGCCCCTAAGGTGAGTTCAAGAGACGGAGAAAAGGTCCTATTGGAACCCAGTGGAATTCTGCCAACCAACCGTAATATTAATCCGGGAGTTGTACATATTCAGGTTCAAGGTTGACCCAGTAATCCACTTCTAACAACAAACAAAAGCCATTGCAAAATCAATACCATTACTCATGATCTCAAGTTTCCCATTGCAGCGACATATCGGATTCGAATGAATCAACTTCGGAGGATGAGAGACCACAGAACAATCGAGATGATGACGACGGTGAATTCGAGGGATTTCCAGTGAGTTTCAAGGATGACGACGAGGACCTGCCGGATTTGCGAGAGCTTTCGGTCCAGGATCACAGCTGGGATGTCCTGATTTTCACGCAGCAGTGGCCGGTGACCACATGCTATCATTGGCGCGAGAACAACCCGGACCAGGAGTGCACTTTGCCCCAGAAAAAGGAGTTCTGGACCATCCACGGCATCTGGCCCACAAAGCTCCACAAAATCGGTCCCAACTTCTGCAATAATTCGGCCAGCTTCAATCCGGATAAGCTAAATCCCATCGAGGATAGCTTGGAGACCTTTTGGCCCGACCTCAAGGGGGTGGACTCCACGGAATGGCTGTGGAAGCACGAGTGGCAGAAGCACGGAACCTGCGCCATGCTAATCGAGGAGCTGGACAACGAATTGAAGTACTTTGAGCAGGGACTCACCTGGCGGAAGGAGTACATCATGTCGCGGGTATTGGACGCCTCCGACATCCATCCCGATTCCAACAACACAGTGGCGGCCATCAATAATGCCATAGTCAAGGCTCTGGGCAAGAATCCCTCGATCCACTGCCTCTACGATGGCAAGCACGGCATCAGTTATCTGTCGGAGATTCGGATTTGCTTCAGCAAATCCCTGGAGCTCATCGATTGCGATGGTGTCCTGCAGGGCGATGCTGTGCCCGTCGGCGTTCCCGGTGGCACCATCATCACCAACTGCCATATTGGAAGCCTGGTTCATTATCCCAGCCTGGTGCCACCGCTGCAGAGGAAAAGCAATTGGAAGTTACCTCTGGTGAATGTCTACAAATTGCTGCAGTTCCTCATGTGGTTCACCCTGTAAGCAGGTGACAACTTTTTATCACCCTCGTTGGGATTTATTTTGAGGCGCGCCTTAGGAGGACTCTTCGTTAACTCCACTATTGTTTGATTCTTCCACTGATTTGATGTACTGAAGATTCGGAGCTTAACAATCATAAGCGAACAAAAACATTCGTTTTTAAATAGCTGCAAATCTAGTAAATTTTTAACAAAAGAGGTCATATTTTATATTATTATTGCTTTTAAAGGTCCACCATTTTAAATATTCACATTTGTTAGCAACATCTCTCTGGTTTTTACCCTATATTCAATAGTATTTCTTAACTTTTACAAAATGGGATATCAAAATCATTTTAAACCAAGCTTCTTCATCCAATTTCACCTTCATCTGTTTACTTTATTCTTGATTAAACAAAGTTTTCTCTTTGAAAGACAAAATATGTACTTTAAAATGCATACTGTGAATTTAATTAAATGAGTTATCAAAATGTATATCAAATTTTAATCATTTTTTAGCATAAGTCTTGTAAATTTTATTTTGATAAGCAGACATTATTTTTTTGACAAGTATTAAATCAAATTTAAATTGAATCTGCTTCACAAAACGAATGACTTCAGGCTGTTTTCTACCTTCCTGTATCACTTCCTAGGTCTAAGCTCACATTTGTTTAATTAAAACACATCGAATATATATATTTTGGAATATTGAATTGGTATAATTAAATTTAGCATAACAGGTTATTGCATAGGTTGATATCTAAACTGGTGTTAAACAGATTGCTGGAGAACGAAAGTATAGTTCTATTGCTGCTGCGTGGAGTTCCCATTGTAAGTGGCCTTGTCCTTATCTTTTTCGTCCTTCTTTGTATCCTGCAGTCTGCGAATGTTCGAATCGCCGTATTTAGGCGGCTGATATCCACCGGGTCGCTGTTGGAATTGCTGCGACTGGGTGTTATGCGCAGAAGGAGTACTTCCTGGTCCCGGTTGCGTTTGTGGAGTGGGTCTGTCTGCTGCCCCTCCGCCAGGAGTCGTCGTTGGCCTCGACGTCGAAGGCTCATCGTAGTCATTATAGCCTGGTGCCGGTGTTGGTCGCAGGGTGAACATATCCATGTTGCGACGGGCGGCTCTGAATAATCAAAAGACTGGTTTAAGTAAAGGCTTAGCTCTTAATAAAGTAGATAAACTTACGCGTCGCCCTGTTGAATTTCCACATTGGCCTGCTGTCCTGGCCACCGGATGTTGGCCATCAGCACGCTCAACTTCTGGGTAAGCGGTCGCAGTCCCATCTTGTGAATGTAGTCGAAAGCCTTGGCTGCCGGCGTGAGCATGGCCCAAATGACCGTGGCCAGCATGGTCATCAGAGAGCCACCGCTGCGCACCACACGATTCACTTGGTCCTTGGTCAGCACCAGCACCACCGCATTGGGCACTAGATTCAGCTCACTCAGGGTCTTGACCTCGTCCTCCGTTTGGAACTCCCGCCGGGGATAACTGGTGGCCAGGGTGAAGTCACGCACATCGCTCGCCGCCAACAGCTCGTTGCGCACATACACACGCACGGTGGCCAGCACCTCACCGGCGGGAAAGGATTTGGTGCGTTGTATGCCACCGGGCAGGCGGATCTGCAGCCTCGTCTCGTCCACAGAACTGACAGACGACTCGGTAGTGATGGCATTGGAGGCAGCGGTGGCCGAGTGGCTAGTGCTGTTCAAATCCGATGTGTTGAAACGTTGCGCCTGCTCCGCGCGATCAGCAGCGATCTGGGCGCGGATGCGCTCCCTGGCCTGCTGCTCCTGCTGACGCTCGCGGCGTATTTGTTCCTGGGAGAATAAAGAAAAGGTTGTTTATAAAGTAATATAAATATTTAAGAAGCATTAAAGAACTACCCACCTGCATATTCTTGAGTTCCTGCTCCTTGTTCTTTGCCTGCTGGGTCTGCGCCTCCCGTCCCTCCTTGCGTCGGCGCAGCTCGTTCTCCTTCTCGCGGCGCTTCTCCTCCTCCACACGCTCTCTGCGCTTCTCCTCCAGAAGGTTCCGGACCTCCGCCATCCTCTCCTCAGATTCAGTGATTCCCTGTCCCTCCGCCGGTCGCTGTATCGAAGCTGGAACAGCAGGTGTGAGCAATGGTACAGTTGGTATGAGATTAGTGGTGGCGAAATTCCGGGCAGCTGCCCCTGATGTCGATGCCGAACCCTCTACTTTGCTGGCTGCGGCTCGCTTTTCGGCTGCCAAGGCGGCTGGGGAAACTGTGGCGTTCTCCGCTTCTGAACTGGGGTTTCCTTCCAAGCTGGAGGTTGAGAGATCAGCAGGAATCGAGGCGAAACTGGCTGCTGCAGGGGAATTCGGAGGATTCGTTTTGGGTTCCTCCAACTCTTCAGTTGGTAAGTTTGAAATTGAAGTTGTCTCAGGTTCCTCGAATTTTTCTGGGGCTGAAATATAAGGAATTCTTTTAGTGATTGCCGGTTTAGTGGAAATTAACCTTTAAACTGAGTTTGAAACTTAAACTAATCACTGGTAGCAGAAACGATTCGATTCTTAAATAATATTTTAGTTTTGTTATGTAATATTTTTGACGTTAAGATTAACCGAAGTGTTTTTCTGTTACTGCTATTATGCAATAGTTTAAATTTTTAGAAATTTTTGAATATCCTAACGATAGCTTTTTATGAAAAAATATATAAATTAAATTTTGATACTATATTGAAATTTTCAGAAATTTTTAAATATCTTAACGATTGCTTTTTATGAAAATATATATAACTATAACTATGACACAATATTAAAATTTTTAGAAATGTTTGAATATCTTAACGATTGCTCTTTATAAAAATACATAAACATTTAACCATAATACAATATTAAAATTTTTAGAAATTTTTGATTATCTTAAAGATTGCTCTTTACGAAAATATATAAACATTTAACAATGATACAATATTGAAATTTTTAGAAATTTTTGAATATCTTAACGATTGCTCTTTACGAAAAAGTATATAAATTTAACCCGTTCTATAAACTAACTTAAATTGCAACTAGTCTTCATTTCGTTTCAAATTCCTAAAATCGACCTTTGACTACCTTGAACTGAATCCTCATTGCTCAAACTGTTCGAATCATCTGCGCCCGCGAAGCTCCTAACCGCATTAGGTTCCAGTGCCTCCACAAAGGAGGAGCTGCTGGCGGCTGCCTCGGCCTCCGTTCGCTTTCCCGCCAGGACCAGGACCTGGTCGATCTTATCCGAGAGCTCCTCCACGCTGGCCGTGATCCCAGTGGCTATGGCCAGAGGAGTGCCCGCCTTGCCAATGAAGAAGAGCGAGGGAACGGGCACGACTTTGTCTGGAAAACCAAAGAAAGGCCTTTAAGGATCTGGGATTAATTACTATCCCCTAGAGTTACCCACATAGCGACATGAACTGTCCGTAGGCGGAGCTATTTCCCTGGACTTTGATGGCCACAAAGTCGGAGGTTTCCAGGCGAGATCGCACCCGGCTGTCGTCCACGAATCGTTCCAGCTTTCGCGACATCTCATCCTGGCCTGGAAATCAGTGGAAATTTCACAAGAATGACGTGGTGAAAATTCGCAATGCAAATGGGCTGGCTAATTACCCTCTATGAAGACCACGAAGACGGCGTCCTTGGCCTTTGATTCCGCCACGGCCTCCGCAATGTTGCCCGTGTGCCAGTTCATGTTTAGGGACGGATTTTCGACTCGGTTCGGATACGGGTAATTTTGCCTTGCCTGTTTTTGTTATTCCAGAAATTTTTCTGCTGACAGCTGACTCCCGGGTATCGATAGATTTTAGTATCGATAGGTACTAAATAATTTAATTTTTTAATTTCAAAATAAATATTGATCACATTTTAAAACTTTTTTTTTTTATTTAACTATTTTTTGTATTTATTTTCATTGTTTACTTGTTCTATGGATTTGGTTAGCCTTTAAAACAATTATTCGATATCATTATTCGATTAAAATATAATACCGCTCTTTTTTAAATTCAAATTTTAAATTAATTCAGTGAGTTTGAGAAAAATCTCTTACTTGAAATCTTCTGTTTAAACTTTAAAATGGGAGAATGTTTAGTTTGAATTATATCCTATACAAATTAAAATATTTTGATAATAATGAATAAGATGACAAACTTTCTTTGTCATGAATTTTATAAAATAATATTAACTAAATAATAGCATATTAATCTCAAAAGGAGTTCGAATTTTTTATTATAAACTTATGTCGGTTTAAAATTGGACTTAAAACCAAATAACAAAATAGTATGAAAGAAAACCAAATATAATCATTTTCCAATATACCAATTTAATGTAATGAATCGAGTATCATTAGCATAGACGCAGATGCTATTCTTGTACATATTCTTTTAAAATATTCGTCAAGAAATAATTCATTTTTATTGGACATCTAGTTTATATGTTAAAAGAAATGAATGACTCTCTCCGGTTTAGAAAGAGTATGACTTTTGGATGTGTTCATCGATAGTATAGCTAGCCAGATAAGAGCAACGGAGCCAGGTTTCTTAGGTGTAGGTAGGTGATGGTTGGGACATGTCATGGTTTGCTCCTATTCGCTGGAGTTACCTGCAGAGATAATCATAAGTTAGAAGGATTCTTTAAGGCGGTTTTTTGAGAGGTGCTTGAGGAGATTTCGCAAGACCTTTGTTCTTACCCTCGTCGATATCGGAATTCATGATGGAACTGGCCGGGGTTACGGAAATCTCACTGCGCTCTACGTCCGGAAGACGGGCCACGCGTACAATGCATCTCTTGGGCTTCGGTTTTAACGGAAATGGACGAGAATTCGGGGTGTTTGAAGATTTGATGCGCTCGAGATTTACGCGACACTTTCGCACCTGGTACTCCACCTCTCGTTCCACGCTCCGCTCGCCCTGCACATTGAAGTACGGGTGCCGTGGGATCTTGACCACCATTTTCTTAGTCTTCGGCGACATGGTTTTGTCTGGGAAATCGGAAAACTCTCTTTCAAAGTCGCGAAAAGAAGTGAAGGCAATTTCTTGGACGCCAAATTCGCAGTGTTGCAAATCGTCTAAAGCGATGTTGAACTATCGACAGTGAAGACTATTCCAAAAGGCCAGGTGATCTAGCTATTTTCCAGCGAAGTCAAATTATGATCTTAAAAATCATAAACTAAAGTAACTTACACTTGTTTAACTTTAACATCATTTAAACAGTTTTTTATTTAAGTACTTTAAAAGTAGTAAAATAAAATTATATTATATAAAAAAGAAAAACTAAATATTTAACTAGCTAAAATTCTAGCTATTTTAAAACCCCGATAGATTCATGGTAGTCGAACAATCGATAGTTGGCTATCGCCTAGCTTTGTTTTTGTGTGTCATTGTAAATTTTCTTTTCATAAATACACGAAACTATTCGAAAATAAACTCTTGGAAAATAGAAAACCACCGCCATGAGTGAAGTACAGACCCTGATGGATATGGGTTTCCCCCGAGATCGTGTGTGAGTACCGCGGACATGGCCGATTTTCCACCGGCAAAAAAACAGTTCGCTCTGCGAAAAATGTAATTTATTAATTCCTGGATTTTTCCACAGGGAATATGCGCTGCAGGTGACCAGCAATAAGCTAGAACCGGCAATGGAATGGCTGCTGGCCCACGTGGATGATCCGTTACCGACCCGTCAGAATGCCGGGGATCCCCCTGGTTCCGGTGCTCCCCCCGCCGCCGGAGAGGATTCCTCCTCCTCCGGCGCAGCAGCTTCCAGTAGCACCAGTGGTGCCGGTGGTGAAGCCACTGCCGATTCCCAGGTGGCCAAGTCCCTGAAATGCGACGATTGTGGAAAGGTTCTCAAGGATCACACAGAAGTGGAGTACCATGCAGCCAAAACCGGACACAGCAACTTCTCTGAATCCACGGAGGAGAAGAAGGCCCTCACCGAGGAGGAGAAGAAGGCCCAGCTGGCCCTCATCGAGGAGAAGCTCAAGCAGAAGCGCATCGAACGCGAGGAGCGCGAGAAAACCGAAGCTCTGCAGCGGGAGAAGAATCGCATTAAATCCGGCAAGGACATGACCGAGGCTAAGCGGCGCATGGAGGAGCTCGAGATGAAGAAGATCGTAGAGCAGCGCAAGCGCGAAAAGGACGAGGAGAAGGCGGCCCGGGATCGGGTGAGGGCTCAAATCGAGGCGGACAAGGCGGCACGCAAAGCTAGGTAAAGGTTTATAACAATTTTGACTGGAAAACTACGTATTAGGGATGTCGAAAATATTTCAAAATATCAATAACTAGTTTTTTTTTGCAAAAAAAGAAATATTTTTATCGTAATATTTTTTTTAAATAATTTTTTTTTTGCACATTTTTTTGATAATTTTAAGTGGTTTCACTTTTCATCGGGACAAAAAAAAATACACAAATAAAATTCGTTTTTCGGCAAGTAAAAATGCATAGTATAGCATTCAGAATCCAAGAAAACGCAGTAAAAACAAGATAGATAGAAAAATATCTGATATAAAGACATACATATTTTTTCTAATATATCAAATATCATTTTGATTTTTTGTTTCAATAAAAAATATCATCGATACGATATTTTTGAAAATTTCGACATCCCTACTTCGTATTCTTCCTAATCATAACCAGCCCAAGATGCCAATTTGATTAAATATTTTAGGAAAATTGCTTTATAGCTTTGTCTTATTAATTTTTAATCCTAACCCGCAGAGAACAAAAGGAACTGGGCAATCCGGAGCCAACTCCATCCGTGAGTTCCACCACAGTCTCGTCGCCGCCGCCGGCAGGTGTGAAGTCGCCGCCGCGTGACTACACCGAAACCCGCATCCAGGTGCGCCTGCAGGACGGCTCCACGCTCCAGGAGACCTTCAACGTCAAGGAGCAGCTGTCCGCCGTGCGTGTGTTCATCCAGATGAAGACCGGCATCGAGTCGCCCTTCTCCCTGATGACCACCTTTCCGCGCAAACTGTTCGCCGAAGACGATTACGAGAAGCCGCTGGAGGTGCTCGGCCTGGTTCCATCTGCCGTCATCACCATGACCAAGACGGCCGCATAAATCTGTCCTCTTTCAAACTGGGAAATCGGGGGAAATGGATGGGAATCTCTCCCACAACAAAACGAAATGTCTAGAAACTAAAACTAACGAAACGCGGCGCGATATTCCCCCAAAAAACATTTAATGTACGGTTTTATATATGTATTAAACAAGAAAAACTAAACTAATCATTTTTAAAGAGTCTTTCAAGAGGGATAAAGCTTAAACAATTTATAGATTTTACATTATATTTAAACGGCTTTCGAATAAACTGATTTTACAGCATTAAAGCTGACATAAAAATGATATATTAATATCATATAAAAAACATATTCAAATAATTTTTCTTTATTATAAAAGTAACAATAGGATACCATTTCTTATGCTAATGATAGGTTTTCAAGCTTCTACATGAAGGGCTCCACAAAGTTCTTGATTTTTTTAACGCTTCGCTCGGCGGGTCGAATATTTAGGTGTTGTCCGAATATGGTAAACTCCATGTTGCCCACTTTCATGCCAAAGACGCACTCGCTCTTGGGGATAGTCCTCAGCCGATGATCTTTACCCAGAAGCTTTAGAACGTTCTTGGTGTCCATGACACAGATTCCAGCCAAGTTCTCCAGGGTGCGGCACTTGGATTGAACGACTCTTAGTTTGGCTCCGTGCAGATCTAGTTTTACCAACTGCCGGCTGAACTCCTCGTAACGAGGATCGTGGACTTGCGGCACCTCCGATCCCTCCCTTAGCTCCAGATGCTCGCGAACATATCCCTTCCAGAGATCATGAAGTGGCAGAGCCTCCTCGTATTTCATCTGCTTGGTCGGAAGTGTATTTAATCCAAGTTTTGCGTTCTCCTTGCGGCTCAGAACTCCAGATTTGTGGGAGCGGCGCTTGCGGGAGTGCTGCTTCTTGATCTTGGTCCCCTCCAGCATGGATATGTGGTCCGGATTGATGTTCACATTGCAGCGCTGGTGCGGTATCACCAGGTCCGTAATGAATTCCTTTAAATCACTCGTCGCGTGGTCCATTTTGCTCTCCAATCAAAATCAAAACAAACGAAATTTGGGATGGGAGTGGCCTATAAATAATCGGCACTAGTTATCGACATGTTGCAGCGACTGTGCAGGCGTTGCCAGATCGATAGACACAGCAATGGTGCGCATAAAAAACAGGTAAATATTTACCGAATTATTAAGGTAAATCATTAATTAAACCGTAAAAACGATAGATATATAGCGGTGCAGATTGTACCCTATACACCGACGAGTTCACTCCATCTCAAGGACCACAGCCTGGCCAAAATTCTGTTGCAAAATGTGGAGAAATACCATGGGGTCTACGGTCTCGGAATGATCGAGCAGGGTTTCCGGGTGAAATACATCAATGATCGGACCAAAATAGCCATAATACGATGCCTGCATCGTGGTCAGCGCTTTGTGTCCAGCATATTGCCCTTAATAACATTGGTAAATCACTATTCCATACCCTTAAATCAGCATTAAAATCGGTTTTATTACAGATTGGAGATGTTCGAGCAAAGTTTAGGACCCTCTATATAGGTGCCACCATTATCCAATGCAACAAGTTCATAGTGAAGCACCAAAAACAGTTCCTGGACCGCGCTATGGGTCAAATAACTTCCGCCAAGGAGCGACAGGATCTCTTCAAGCGCGTAATGGAGTTCGACATGGACAGATAGCATACATAATTCGTTTATCGTATAATTAAGTAATTATAGTACACAGTTTTCTTGTAGAAAACCGTACTCTCAATTCGACTAAAATGTAGATCATGTTTTTTTGGTATAAAACTAAACTTCGATGAGGAATTTGCGACTTGGCGAGCGTGCAAGCTTGGCTCCGATTTGCTTTAATCTCTGCCGGATGTCCGCCAACGTCAGCTTGTTCTTCTTGCTATAAACATTAAGATATATGCCCAGGACAACGATAAGACCGGACCACAGATATCTGAAAATGTAGAGAAAGATAAGAATAGTTTCCAGGATTATATCCCAAGAAATACTGACTGCATTGTGAAAGGCTTGCTGAAGAGCACAAACGAAAAGGCTATGGTCACAGCCTTGCGAGCGGTGGTCACTGTGGCGGCTATGGGAGCACCACTGCTCCTCACCAGAGCCAGCACAAACTGGATGCCCAGGTAGCCGGACAAGCTAAACAGGAAGCCGTAACCAAAGGTCTCCAAGGGGTGCTGAAATATATACAATTTAGAGTTGCTATACCAAAGAATAGCTACTTTACCCACCTCCAAGCAGAAGGCGAAGCCGCTGAAGAAGTTGCCGGTAACCAGCATGATCACAAAGAGGTAAACGAAACCCAGACCGTAGGAATAGAAGACCACCTCACTGCTGGGCGCCTTGTGCTCCCGCATGGCCTTCTCCTGGACATTCCCAATGGCCGCATCGCAGAGCAGCGCTCCCGAAATCATGGCCACGCCCAGCAGATTAAAATTGGGCGTCATCTGCGAGTCGGCCAGCGTGAACCAGGCCAATCCGATGCACATGCAGGCGGCGGCCGCAAAGTCCAGCAGTCCGTAGCGCTTGCCCTGGATGAGGATGCTGCCCACCAGGACGGGAATGAGTTTGCAGCACTTGAAGATCACCTGGGTGGGATAGTTCAAATAGCCGAGACTGGAGTTCGACAGACCCATGGTGCCCAGGGTGAGAGCAGCCAAAACGAGGTACGTTTTCATGGGAATGCAACGTGGCTCGGGCTCAATGTTCCAAAAGGAACCGCCACTTATCCGATAGCCCTCCAGTCGCCGCTCCACCAGGCCAAAGCCGATGTAGTAGCCAAACTGGACGAGGGTCAGGAACCATCCATACGGCTTGAATCCTTCCACGGTGAAGATGAGCTCCTGCAGGTAGCCGTACAGGATGTACAGGATAAAGACGCCGGCACAGCTGAGCAGGAACTGGGTGGTGCGATTGTAGAAAGTGAGGTCGAAGCACAGGATTCGCAGTTCCGCAGGAGGAGTTTCCGAAGAGGAGGACTTCCGCTGCGGCGGCGTCGAACTTCCCGCCAACATGCCATTATTGATGGTGATAACGCTCCCGGTATTATCAGTCATTCTGCTCCCCATCAGCTTGATAATGTGTGTATATATAGTATATACACTATATAATGCCTATCTGAATCTGAAGATTATGTGACGCCACGGAGACCGTGTTAATTAATGCCACGCTGTCCGCGGAGTTGTCAGCTTAGAGTATGGATTTGTCATGCCTCTTTGGGTGCTGCATTATTTTACAGGCAGGCGTGGAGATTACTTTTTGATGCGAATGGCGCTGGACTACAAATAAAAACTAGGTTTGTTTACCACAAATAAACTATCAAATTTTTATCGATACTACCACCCCTAAATCGCTGAAATTAGGGTGGCAACTCCTTCGTTCAAAATAGCTTAGAAATAGAGATGGGCGCGTGACGTTGTTAGTACGATATAAATCTAACCGGTAGAAAGAAGGGGACAGGGTGGCAACTCTGCTGCTACCGGCATTTTTAATTTGCACTTCCAACTGAAAATAACTATTAAAAGAAAACCATTTTAATACTTTTTCTAATTTTAAAACAGTTTAAATAGTTTGAATTTGTCAAATCAATTCCACTTTCGGGTGTGACCCTAAAACAGCGTGGTATATGGAGGGACTCGACCAACGGTCACACTATTAGGAAAAGGAAAAAGAAGAAGCAGCAGTGAAAAGTGCCGCTGGAAAATTGTTAAAAGTGATGCATTTAGGAATTTAACCAGGAAAATAGTGTGTAAAAAGAGCCCCAAAATGGACGTGCAGCCGCCACGTGGTTAGTAAATAAAATCCCGTGTGATTTATTGCCCTTTTAAGGGAGCACATTCTGCGCCCAGTTAGAATGGCACGCACACATACGCGCGCACACGCACAACCTTTGGATATGCTGAAATTTTATGCAAAAACCTTTTCCTTTTTTTTCGCAGACGCCAGTTTACGCAATATTATTGACAAACTGGCGGAGTTTGTGGCCAGGAATGGGCCGGAATTCGAGGCCATCACCAAGCAGAAGCAGCAGAACAACCCCAAGTTCGAGTTCCTGTACGGCGGGGAGTTTGCCAGCTACTACCAATTTAGGGTGGCAGCGGAACAGACGCGTAAGTGCGGAAATAGATGAAAGTTTCATAGAATAATATCTATATAAATCCCCAAACAGTGCTAAAGCAGCAGGGGATTAACCAACAACTGCCACCGGGTGGACAATCGGGCCACTACATGCAGCAACCGCCGCCAATGCAGCAATCCCAGCCACCTGGCCACTACCCGCCACCCAATCAGCAGTCGCAGCACCCACAGCACCCGCCGGAAAACGCACAAGATAATATGCAACAGCAGCAGCACTCCTGGAATCCCAACTCTGGCAACGGAGGACCGCCAAATATTCAGCAGGCCAATGGCAATGCCATGGCCATGAATCTTAACTCACAACTGGACGCCATCAAGATGCAGCAGAAGACGCTGCGGGAACAGATCAAGCAATCCGAAGCGAATCTCTCCGCACAGCACACGGTAATTTAAAGTTGACACCGACTGGGGTTCTACTATCAATGTCCATTCCTTTGCAATCATTTCTCTGAGAGATTAGAGCAGCTCAAGTGTTGGATGGGAAGATTTATATTGCCCTTTTATTTGAACTTGACTACGTTTATTTCCTTGTAAATCCTCGGCTAGCGATCCTCTCGAAAGTACAAATATTTCATATTGATACGAATTTAAGTTCTATTCTAAAAACACGTTTTTAAGATCTGTTGTTCATTGTAATATTTGCAATTATATTGTAAGAAAAGATTTCCACGTGTTTTTCACATAAGTGAACATGTTTTTTGGCCGTTTATAGGCGAATAATTAAGAAATATAGAACATTTTCGTTCGTACTACATTTTTACCCCACTTTTAAGCGACCCTCAATCCTATGTTGACTATTTGTAAATTCCTTATCAAGGCCACATTATAAAAATCATTCCAAGTCCTTCTGTGACTTTTAAAGAGATGAAAATACCTTTTTTCCCTCAAATATTTTTATTGTGGACACCACAAACTACTTCTCAAATACCAAGAAAAATTGAATTCAGCTCTGGTCCCCTCCCTGGTTTATTCTCAATCGATCTCTATTGAGTCCTTGATCTGTAAATGCGGTTAAGATAAAGTTAAATGTGTACTTTCAGCATTACCAAACTAAAAACTCTATTTGCTATTATTTTAACTATTGAATTAACAATTTACAATGCTACATTAAATTTTTGCTTTATTGTATTTTTTGAAACATAAACCAAAAAAAAAAAAATTACCAAATCAAAAACCACTCTTCATACCAACTGACAAAAAACTGTATAAAAACAAATCCCAAAATCAAATTTGTTTGAAACGCTTGTCGACTTGAAAACGAAATCGCGAATGCGAAAATGAATGTGAAAATACCTTTGTGTGCCCAATGACCAAACCGATCCGATCCGAACCAAAACGCACCACCAACCAACCAACCAACCAACCAAACGAAACCAACCTGTAGGCCCTGATGAACCAGAAGACGAAGCAGATCGAGGAGGCTATCGCGGCGGCGCAGACGACGCAGCAGGAGCAGATGGCCGGCGAACAGGGCATTGTGCTGAGGGACTTCGATGGCGTCCTGCAGCCGATCATCGAGTCCTGCACCAAGGACAGCATCTCTGCAGGTAAATATGAGTTCGGCGACACGGCTGGATTCTATTATTGCTTGTTTGTAGTCTCTCGTAATCTCGTAATCAGTCATAAGTTAGCTAAAGGAGCCTGCATTCAATGCTCCGCAGCTCTGCTGCACACAAAAAACACACACTAAATGAATCCATACTACCTTTTGATTAAACCTTAATCCTAATTTATTATCGAAAGTGACAATGACAATATGAGTAACCCGTTTGATATTGCAATTTTAGGCAAGAACTGGATTTTACAGCATTCAACCGACAGCGCAAAAATCAATGTCGTTTTACAATATCTTTTAAAGAAGTATGCCTCAGTTTTATGATTAATGACCTTCAACATGTATTAATTAAATTGTGTTTCTTTCTTTCAACGAGTGAAATACTACTAACCAAACATACAAAAACGAAATATCGAAAAACAAGCGAGAGATGATCGATTGAGCGATTGAGACTCCCCCAGAGAGGCTCGAGATTGATTCGTTGATTCGTTTTCGAAAGATGTTATGATCATGAGTAGTTCCCCGATCCGGAAGACTTGTAGCTAGGGCCACACACCTAAACACATCATTTTACTTACTAAGTTTAACTATATCAAAAACACGCACAACAACACACCAACACTAAGCAGTACAAATCATCGGACAAGCAAAAAAAAATCAAAAAGAAAGAAGACCATCTAACAAAAATCATTATACTTGCACAACAAGTACTTTTGGCAATGTTGTTGTGCATTCAGAAACCTAGAAAAATATGTTTTTTTGTTTGTTAATTTATTTTTAGGGCTTTGGTCAATGGTTCAACGTTTCAGCAAAAATTGCATCTTATATATTTAGTTAATGATATACTACACCACTGGTAAGTTTGCCCAGTCAATCACTAGCATATAGTATGTAGTATTTAAAAGCCTCAGACCTCAAGAACTAATCCACCGAGCAGTCACCCAGCTTAGTTGGTTAGTTTAAGTCGCATTACCCGGACAATACTAGACCAAACAGACGCACTTGATCTTGGACGAGAGACAGAAGACGCTAGTTTAGCCGGGAACACTGAGTCCTAAGTGCAACGATGTATTTACAGCATGCGCAAGAACATCAATGACTTGAAGAACAGCCTCGAGAACGTCGTCATTCCGATGTTCTGCAGCGCCGACTTGAGTATGTATATCCCTTATCGAATCTTTCGCCTGGGATATTTAATATTTATTTATTATTTAATCGCCCACAGTTGCCAGCAATGATCAGCGCCAGAAGTTGGCCAAGCTGCTGTCGCTGTGGGAGTCCAAGGCCAAGTTCTTCGATGCCTGCGTCATCTCGAAGCTGCAGTCGCCGGACTCTTCGATGCAGGAGTACAAAACTAATCTGCAGAACACCCATCACGACATAGCCGCCAAATTCACGCAGAACACAAAGGCCACGTTGGATAAGTGAGTAAACTGAAGGTTATATGGGGTCTATAGATAATAATTAACGTTATCTCCTCTCTCAGCTACCAAAAACAGCATCAGATATTCATCCAGCATGCCAGCCAGCAAATTGGCCAGCTCGAGAAGCAGGCGCAGCATCTGGAGCAGCAGATAATGGTGGCCCAAAAGTCACAGCAGCAGCAGCACATGCTGCAACATCAAGGTCCTGGTGGTCCTGGTCCGCAGCAGAAGAACATACCATCACTGATGTCCCATCGGATAGCCATGCCCGGTGAACGCGAACAGCACATGAATAATGATCAGCAGCATCCGCAGGCTGGGAATAATATGTATCCAGGTGGTAATTTCCATCAGCAGCAGCAACAGCAGCAGCCGCCTTCGGGGAATCCCTTTGCGGATCCACGGGGACCTAACTTTTTCATTCCGGACATGTCGAAGCCACCGCCAGGCTTTGCCGGGCCCATGCATCATCATAATCAGGGACCACCAATGGGCCATCAGCAGCAACAGCAGCAGCAGCAACAACAGCAGCAGCAACCAGGACAGTTTCAGGGAGCTGGCAATGAACCGCCCGTTGATTTGGGCGTTCTCAGTGCAGCAATTCAGGCCTGCCTACAGATGCAGCAGCAACACCATCCCGATGACCCGCAGCAGCAGCAGGGGCAGCACCAAATGCAACAGCAGCAGCAGCAACAACAGCAACCACCCATGGCTGCCTATCCCCAGAATCTTGTTAGACCGGGCCAGCAAAGTGTGGAACCAGAAGTGGATCTAGATGTGCTCAATGCGGCCATTCGGGCGGTGATAACCAATCAAGCCGAAGACGGCGGTCCATTGGAAGATGGTCAACAGGCAACGCAACAATCGGGCGATGGGGAAACTGGAGAGCCTGTTGTGATCGGAGAACCGCAAATACCTACAGCGCCTTACTACGACTTGCCAGCGGGACTAATGGTGCCGCTCATTCGCCTGGAGGATTACAACTACAAAGCTCTCGATCCGGCGGACATACGACTGCCAGCTCCGGCGCCACAAAGCGAGCGGCTGACGAATGCATTGAATGCCTTCTATTCCGCGCCCTCTCACGATCGTCCCAGGGATAAGTGAGTGGATTTATCTGAAGTATTTAAAAGTTACTTATAATTTATATTTTATTTTGCAGTGAGGGTTGGGAGAAGCTTGGTCTCTATGAGTACTACAAGGTGAAGAATGCGGCGCGAAAGCAAAAGGAGGAGGAAATCAAGGACGGCATTCGGGAAAAGTCGCGCTCGCCCAGTCCAATTGTGCTGGAGAGGCCCCTACCAAAAAAGAGCAACAAGCGGGTTTATCGGTGCGTTTTTTTTTTACTTTTTATAATCCATTATAAATGCTTTATTCTTCTTTTAGATCCAAGAGTCGCAGTCGCTCCCGCTCGAATACTCCGCCCCATCGAGACAGATCGCCCTCTCGTTCGAGATCCCGCTCGCGATCCCCGGAACGCTCCTCAACGCCGCCAGCGACGAACCGCAATAGGATGGGCGGTGGAGGAGGTGGTGGCAGCAGTCGCAAGGGACGCAATCGATCGCCTCGCAACGATCGGGAAAGTAACAACCGGGAGAATCGTGTAGAACGCAGCAATTCCAATAACAGCAACAATGGCAACAGCACCAACCTAAGACGTGTGGATCGCGACAGATCTCCCACCCCTCCGAGCTTTCTGTAAGTGTAAAAAGGATCTAAAGATCATACACAGAAAAAAAAGAACGGTAATGGTCAATTTGATATTTCGTAAAGATCAAGTTCATATCATTTTGATATGAATAAAGATTATGTCAATCTTTTTTTATATTATTTGCTCAAAAAATACTAAATTTGGTATTTTTTATGATATGACAAAATATCATTTTGATATGTTTGAATCTTAAATTTGATATGAAATAAGGCAGAAATAACCCTATTTCATATCGCTTTTTTTTCTGTGTATGAGTCTCTGTTAGATCCATAGTTAAATCCTCCCTTAATGTTTCATTTTATTACTCCCCAGGGGTAGCACCTTTGCCAAGCCCCAAGAATTCATCGAGGAATCGAACAAGGGCCACCAAATGCTCATGAAAATGGGCTGGGCCGGCACAGGCACAGGACTGGGCTCCAAGAATCAAGGCATAGACACACCGATTTCCGGTGGCGAGGTGCGCGATCGTCGCGAAATGTACAAGGTAAGAGGAGGCAAGTTGCCACTCGGATAATCCGTTTTCTAATCACTTTATAATCCACAGGGCGTGGGTGCCAATATGCATGATCCCTTTGAGAGCTTCCGGAAGAACAAGGGCGCCGCCTTTGCACATCGCATGCGATCGCGAGACGACAAGAGTTAGGAACTGCCGAAGGCCAATAACTCAACGTTTTTTTGTTTCCTTTTAGCCGAGAAAATATACATTTTTATAAAAGCAACCGAAAGATTTATACAAAGTTAAGCTATGACATTTATGCTGGACTGAGCGGCTTTCGCGTTGACCTTCTCCAGGACCTGGACGAGTCCTTTGCCGGGACCGCATTCAAAGGTGCGTGGAAAGTCGACGCCCTGCTTGCGTTCGTACATCTCGTGGAGGGTCTGTTCCCATTTGACCGGTCGCACGATTTGCTTGGGCAGCTGGGTGAGAATGTGCTTGGCATGGCGATACGGTTTGCCATCCACATTGGAGTACACCCTGATGACGGGATCCTGAAGGCGCACGGACTTTAGGGCCTTGCTAAAAGGCTCCACGGCGCTTTGCATTAGAGGAGTGTGAAAAGCGCCGCTCACTGCTAATCTCTTCATGCGCCGTATTTTAAGGGCCTTGGCGTTTTGCTCCAGGAACTCGAGGGCCTCCACATTGCCGGCCACCACCTTGCAGTGCGGATACATGTAGTTGGCGATGCCGCAGTAGGGCGATTCCACGCCCCTGTCCAAGCACCACTGCTGCGCCCGGGCACAGGCCTCGCCGAGATTGGTGTCCGGTCCGTAGATGGTCATGGCCATGGCTCCGGCTGCCTGATCGCAGGCCGCCTGCATGGCGGTGGCCCGCACTTGAACCAAACGCAAGGCTTTGTCAAATGGCAGCGCATCCGCATAAACCAGAGCGGTAATTTCGCCCAGACTGAAGCCGGCGGCGGCCACACATGTCTCAATGGCCTTCGGACGCTCCTCGCGCAACTGCTCCAGGGCCGCCAGCGAGGACACCATCACGGCCAGCTGGGCGTGCTCCGTGCGATTGAGCTTCTCACGCGGTCCCTCCAGGCAGATCTTGAGGAGATCGTACTTGAGCACCTCGTTGGCCAGCTCGAAGATGCGTCGGGCGCCGGGGAATCGCAGCAGCTCCTTGCCCATGCCCACGTACTGGGTGCCCTGGCCGGGAAACAGCATCACACTCGTTTCCTTGGGATCGATGGCCGGCCGGCTTCTCTGGTCCAGTGGCTCCGCCAGCTCGCTGAGCAGCTGCTGGCGCTTTTCCAGGCTTTCCTTCAAGTCGGAGGCTTCTGTGGTCGCCTTGGCGGCATCGCTGCTCCAGCGGGACCAACTCAAGGAGCCGGAAATCCGCGGTTCTCGTAGTAATCTGCGCGCGGCCAACATTTCTTTACAGGATTATGCGGCTTAACATAACCGTAAAACAGCTGATTGCCGATTGGCGCCTAATCGATTATTTGTTTTTAGTACTTATCGATTGTTTTTAGTACATCTTCTTGTTTTAAAATTTTGGCGGTTCGTGTTCTAAAACTTTTCAAAAGGTGGTTCTCAAAATAAAGTTGTATGAACTCTTTCTTCTACAAGTAATTTCCATTCTTAATCTCTTTGTATCTATACATAAATCATTTAGAAGTCATTCAGAGATTTTTGGAACATCGAAAATATCAGCTTCAAAATACTCAATAGCAAAGATCATCAATGCTTGGGGATTTCACCTGGCATCTTACTCACTTACTCACTATAGTATTTAGGGGCCGTTTTCTTTTGGCTCTATTAATAGCCAAACTTGATTTATGTTGCCAAGCTGTTATTTGGTCATTGACAGTCATGACGAAATAATTATGGTAAAATCATGAGTCATTATGACTACTTCACATAGATTTATGGTGTTAGCCTAAGCTTCGTTTGAGTTTGAAAATTAGTGAGTGCTAAGGGTGGGTTCGCATTGGAGATCAAAAAGCTTCAAGGACTATCTCTACAAAAATTATTTTAGTAATATTTTTAATTTGTTTAGTTTTACAAAGGGTTTGGAAAAAATTAAGTTTTAAATTGAGAATGATATTAAAGAATTTTTCAAACTAGGAAAAATTTCATAGGAAATTAAAAAATCGTCACTTCTTGAATAAAATTAAACCTCTTTAAGTATTCGTGTTTAGAGATATTTTAAAATCCCTTGGCGAAGCAAAAGGGTATTTTTTGGGCCATGTGCTTTTCGGAACCACCGAAAAAAAGAGTTTCTAATTTGAAATGCGATGCCAGCGAGGCAATCGCAGAGTTTTTTGAACCCAGGGCGAAAGAATAGCCCTTCGGCGGGCCAAAGGAGCTGGAAGAGGGCTCGATTGAGGATCGAGGATTGCAAAGGTGAACGACAAAGCCGCCGGCAAAGTCAGACACCGGAGATGACGTGACGCACCACTTTCGCCCTCAGTTCAAGGAACAGGAGATCTGGGCATCAAAACAAAAACACTAGCTCACACGCTCTGCCAGCGGTCCTCCGGTGTCCATGGACCTCTCCTTCTTCTCTCCCCTCCTCTTCCCATCTCTAAACCCAACTGCAAAGGTCCGATCTTCTCAGAAGACGGAGCGACATTCTTGTTGCCAGGGAAAGGACCCACATACGAAATGCTCTCGTCTAGACTGCACGAATATCAGATCGTCGATGGACCGGCGATTCTATTAGAACCCAGAACCTGTTTGCGGTTTATGCCTCTTGTATTTCGGCTCTTTTTTTAAGTTTTTCTGTAGTTTTTTCGTTTGATAATGAGTCGTGAATTTGATGCCCAGGTAGGGGCATTCGTGGCGGAGATCGTTGACATGGCGCAAGTGGCGCGATTCTTGAAATCAGGTTGTGAAATTGTATTTATGAATGAGAGCCCGTGGCGAACCAATTAAATGCCGCATACCAAAGAAGAGTTTTGCCCGCAACACACATTCCGAACCCAAGTCGGGGTTCCCAGAACGTGCCCGTTACCGTTATTTGTGGGATTTGACTTGGTGATCGACGAGCACGGGAATGCACATTCCGAAGGATACGAAAGATACGTGCAAAATTGCGGGGAAATGCAACTGCGTCGCAGCATTGCGCATACGCCACGGGGGCTGGTTAACATTTCCGCATGCAACGAAAGCGCTAAGCAAATAAAACGAAAGCCTAAACGAATCTGAAAGCGAAACCGAAACCGAAACGTAACGATCTGAACCCATAAAAGTCGGCCGAAAGTGTGCATTGACCGAGAGAGCGGCTAAAAATATCCAAAAAGAACGTAACACAAATGATCTGATAAAAATAAGAACGAACGATGATGACGCCCGATCCAGAACAACCGTTAAGTCAGTCGTACGATCGATGATGCTGCAACAGGGTCAACCAAACGAAAGGAAAAGCGGAAAAGAAGAGAGGGGGCTGCTCCCGAAGAAAGCCGAGTGAAAACGAGAGTGAAAGTACTTCACTACCCCTCCTTTTCAGAACCTGTCATATAACTTACCAAAAAACGGATATAAACCAATATATTATTTATTTATATTAGAAATATAATTATAAATTCTAAAGATATTTGTAAAAAAAAATAGTATTTTATAAATATCTCCTTAAAAATTTCTATCTTTCATTCATTCATTTCTGTCTTAAACCTGATTTTTAATAATGTTATGTTAGCAACTGGAAGCTACTTGATAATAAGTGGATTCAAATTTTATTTTATGCAAACGCTTCATTATCTGTGAAATTTATTAGCTTTCGATTGATCTCGGAACCTGCAATGTGAGAATTTCATGTTTCTCTGCAAAACAAGATTAATATCACTGTGCAACAAAATGAATGCTTTTTAAAATTACCTCGATGGATGCTATATTTTAGAATTCGTTACGTTTAACTGCGTTTTCCAAAAGTTCCCTGACGCAAGGATTCTTAGCACAAGGACCTCAAAGTTCGAAAAATGTTAAAAAAAAAAGTTATACAGCTGCGGTCAAAATAGTAGTTGTGTTGCCGCCCTGTGTTTTAAAAGTTTGCTGTTGTAATTTATCTTCTTCTGGTAATATTGTATTGATTATAATTTTACTATTAGACTAATTAGTGGTAAATTTTAGATGTTGCATAGTGTATTGAATAATTTCCGAAGTGTGGAGCACTTGGTATGGTTAATTTATTTACTGAAGTTGACTGTTCTAGAATAACCTTTAAAGCGGTAAACGGTAGTGAATTGTTAAAAGTTGTCCTACTAGCAGCAATACAAAAAAAGTTAAGTCATGACGATCAAATAACGATCAATAAAAATATCTCGCTTTGTATGTTATTGATATTTGTTAATGCTTATCTAAGTTAATATCTTTTATAATTATACGAATTAGTGCAAAATCCAACATTTCCACTATAATCCAGTTTAGATTCCTTTTAAAAAACATTTTTGCAGGAAAATTTTAAATAGTTTTACGGGTCTAGTAAACATGTTTATAAGCCCCACCAGACATAAAAAACTATTAGATGTGGCCAAAACACGCACACTTATCAAAAGTGCGTTGCCCTGGTTGGAAAACCCCCCGGCAACAAGGTCTATGTGGAACTTTCACTGCCACCATCGACCGTCACAACAATCTATTACTACCTTATTACATTCCCAAGGTGTTTTGATAAGACTCTAAACTACCAGTATTCGCCATATCTTTATCAGAAGCAGCACAGCATGTGGCGGTGACTCAGGAGAGCCAAAGGCAATTATGTTGAAATTGGTGAAGATTTGAAGGCGGCGCCGTGAAACTATAAAAGCCAACTCTTAAGGTCTGACGTGCATTCCGAACTCCATTGATAAAAAATTAATATTACTGAATTCCCGACGCGCCTTGCCGCTTACGCAAAACTCCTGTGAACCGATCTTGATCCCAAAAATCCCGAGCCGCTCTCTCACCCCCTATCAAAAAATAAAGAGCGCCAGTCGAGAACCTGGGAAAGCCGATTCAACCTGAGCCGATCCTCGATTTTTGAAGCGCGTATAAATGCTTGCGACTTCGGCTAAGCTCGCCACTCGTGATTATCAGGTAACGTCGATCGGACGCTTTTGTATTCGGCAAGTTCTCGAATTGCCCGCCAAAAAAAAACACGTATACGTAGTGTTGCAGTTAGAAAAGTGGTCAAAATATAATAACAATATAATAAGAATTGTGATCTTAGAACGGAATTAAAATGTTTTTAAAGGTGAGTTCTCTCTCTCATTATTTTGCGGGACTACAAATTTTAATTTTTAATAGAAATTAAAAAGAAAGTGTTACAAAAAAAATTATTTAGAAATTCCAAAAATCAAAATAAACCTTAAAATAAAATAATACTAATAAATTAAAAGTTAAAAATAAAGTTTTTAATATTCCAAAATTTTGTAATTTATTTTTCAATCCCTTTTCGAATTACCTTCAATTATTCCATACCAAAACTTTCCGAATTCCATAACTCTCTTCTAAGAAAACACCACTTTAATTACTTAAATTAGCTGCTTGCCAAAAAGTGGGTGTGTACAATTAACAGGCTGTCAGCTAAAAATATCAATATAAACAAATGCGCTTTTGTTCTCCGCTGGCAAAAGCAAAGGCAGAGCCAAAAGCAAAAGCATAATGCCCGGACCGATTCCGACTCGGATTTATATGGGAGCGAGTGCTAAACAGATTGTCACCGCAAAGTGCGAAATGCAAAATGCGGAAATGCCTACCTGCACCGCGCATTACATAATTTCCACTCCAGCTCTCTGTAATGCCGGGGAAGTTTCAGTCATTAAAGGCGGCAATTAAATTTAAACCATTTGGCCGCGTCGACTTGCAAATGCGCTCCAGTTTATGTTTCGATCTCGCCTCGATATTGACCCAGTTAATGGGCCGCATAATGCGGTGCGTGGGAGTCGGCGACGTCATCCCGGCAAACCGGCAACCCGGCTGTCGTCATCCGAAGTGGTTAATCCAGATTTGTCCCCAAAATCCAGAAAAGCGATCCAGAAAAACCGCGGCAGAGCAGAGTGCGGCCGGTTAGAGGATCGTTGTAACACTTATGCGATAAATTCTGAGCGTCAGCGATTTATATTTAGGCGCCGGAGGCCGGTTGGTTGTTTTTAATTTGGAAATACTCACTCTGGTTTTGTTTCTTTTTTTTTTCCCTTACAGTTCAATCTGTGCCGCTGGACGCTGCTGGTCCTTGGAGTCTGCTGCCTGCTGGGCAGCTCATCGGGCAGCGTCTGCTCCCTGGAGCGGATGAAGAAGTTCGCGATGGAGGCCTGTGAGCACCTGTTCCAGCAGGACGAAGGTGCCCGCCGAGATCGGAGATCCATTGAGTACTCCCACCATCATCTCAATCGACTTGGATGTAAGTATTCACTAGTATACCTATTAGATTCCTATAGAAATAGAAAAAAATGAACTATTTAGTTTCTTATTTTACAAAAAATATCTTATCTTAAAATTTCACATTAAATTTTTATTATTATTATTTATTCATCTTCTTATATCTGAAGTTAACAATTTAACTTAAATATAAAGCACTAGCCACAAAAAATTTAAATTAAAATTTTAATGTAAACTATATTTTCATTTCCAAACTTCGCTTAGTACATTTTTAAATTAATTTACATCAAAGAATCCAATGAAAATTTCGAGATATAAAGATAATACATATTTAGTTTAAGGAAAAGAAAATTAGCGACTTAATAAGGTCAGAGTGTCAGTCAACCCTACAATTGCATTCGGAACTGCATGTCGAAAACACGTTTATAAAGTGTGTAGATTGCAATTAAATACGCGGATTTGCATAAAGCAGTTCCGATGCAAAAGTTAACCGACTTCAAGGCGCAGGTTCAAGATCAATTGGCTCACTCGCAACGTTTCCCCTTTCTTATTGCGACTATTTCAGACGGTAAAACACACAACAAGCACCACCACATCAGCCGCAGTAGCTATCCAGTCGGCGGATATTTGAAGGTGACCCGGGAGCACTTCAATCTCCTCAGCGAACTGGACATCTTTCCGCGCTACAAGCCCAACAAGCTGCACCACGAGAAGAAACAGCGCTACAAGAGGGATCATTCGAGCAGGAGCTACAACAACATACCCTACTGTTGCTACAACCAGTGCGATGAGGAGTTCTTCTGCTAAGGGAACTCCAGTTCTACGACCCACGTCGGTGCCATCTGGTCAGAATCTTCCGACTCCGTCCATAGCTATAGTTAGATTAAAGATGTACATTTTACTAGACGCGCTCACTCTTATAGAGTACCTTTTTTGTGTCCACTACAGGGGACACAAATCCATTTACAGTATTTATACGCCTAGTTCTAAGTTGAATAAACAATCAAATATAATTGATTCTTTTGATCAAAATATAAATAGTTTTTATGAAAGTTAGTGGTGAAATTACGTAAAAACATTATTCAGATAATCTCACAGATGCTTTTGAGCCTTAAAACAAATTAAATTCGCATATATGTGGGCCTAAAAAACTAGGAAGAGATTGTTACAATGCCAAACTAACTAATCATTTCTCTTTTACAAAGTATTGATCATATTTGAACTAAATAATAGACAATTTTTCTTTTGATCAAAATATAAATACTTTTTATGAAAGTTTTGTGGTGAAATCGAGTACAAACATTATTCAGATAATCTCACAGATTCATTTGAGCCTTAAAACAAATTAAATTCGCACATGTATAGCCCTAAAAAACTATGAACAGATCATTACAATGTTGAATTAACTAATCCTTTCTCTATTACAAACTATTAATCACAATTTAACTAACTAACAGAGAATTTTGAGTTCACACGAAATAAAAAGTTATGAAATTAAACAGAAGCTAGCTTCCAAAACCTTAAAAGATGAGTAGCGAGGGTTTAAAATTCTCCTATATCGAACTTATGTAGTAAGCGCCCTTGCAAACGTTGCATTTGTACTTGCGGCAGTTCTTCTCGCCAATCGGCTCTAGCGAGCGAAAGTACTTGGACACCATCCGCAAGATATCCTCGCGGCGGCTCTGCAAGAAATCCTCTCCAAAATTATCAAAGGTATTAACGCAGTGCATTAGAATGCGAAAAAGAACCGCCTCCGTGGACACGAACGTATTTAGCGTGCGATCAATGGAGTCCACGTTCTCCTCCACAAAAGTGCGCGTCATCTGCATCAAGAGCTGCACTGCCTGATCCGTAAAGTATCTGGCCATGGCCTCAAGAACGTCTGTGAAACTGGACAGATTTCCAATGTGCTGGGCAAACTTGCCGCCGAATCTTTGAGCCAGCATTTCCAAATTGACGAGAATCTGGCCGCCAGTGCCAACACTCACAATTTGGGGTAACAAAGTGGTGGCCACATGGAGTCCCTGACCCAGATGCGAGTTGATGTTGTGAAGGCTGAGGAGTGCCTCCTTGAAGGGAATTTCGTTGAGAGTGCGCACAATATCAAATTGGCCAGATTCACTGTGCAGCTTAACGGATTCCTGGGAAATGCGGTCGAAGACTTTTCTGTTTAGAAAGGAAAGATTTATGTACAATAAGGATTGGATGAGTTCTAACCGGATTGACTGACCTGGATTGATTGCGAAGTGCCTTTCTTAAGGAAGAGCCATTGGTGGCCTTGGAAGCTATGCGCATATTGTTAATGGAGTGCGTGAAGATGACCAGGTGCGAGGCCATTTGCAGCATGTCCAAGCTGTTAAGGGCTTGATCATCGCCAATTTTCTAAGGGAAGAACGAAATTAATGAAATAGGAGTCTCAAATGAAGAAACTAACTTACCAAATACAAATCGTAAACCCCATTAACCACTCCTGTTCCCGCGATGACCGCTGAGGCACCGTTTATGCCCCTCACGGCCAACTGGGCAGCGGGATTGACTTTGTAGCCTGCACCTGCGGCTGTGGCCAGCGCCTTGGTGGCCCCAGTGGCGCCCAGACCCACAACACCACCCGCCACGCCCAACCAGGAGCTGCGCGCCTCACCGTCTGTGATGCAGGTGGATTGCCCATGCCGTCGACGATCAATGAGATGGGAGGCCGAGCGCAGAGTGCTGTAGACACCGGTGGCCACGCCCACAGCGGTGGCGGCAATCACCAGGGGAGCGGCCAGAGGCACCGCCAGAGCAGCGGCAGCCGGAACACTGGCCACCAGGCCACCCACAGTGGCCACCTTATCGCCGGCATTGAGTAATCTATATCTGCCACGGGCTGAGGGCGTGGGATGGACCATCAACTGGACGCCAGGCTCATCGCCATCGCTAAAAGTGTAGACTCCCTGGCTGGGGGCGATCATCAAGCCCTTGGGCAGGGTGTTTCGGAAGACATACTGCTCCCAGTTCGAGTAAACTCGGGCATTCTCATCCACGAAGATCATGCAGCAGGCGGCGCTGTTTTCGCCCTTCATGCAGCGACGGGTGCGGAAAACCGGATGGCAACTGTAATTGGTAGACTGCAGTGCCAATTCCGGGTCTGAATCCGGCGTGACCAGCACGTAGATGATGGCGGAGAGCAGTGTGCCATTGGTGTAGCGACGCTGCTGCCAAATATTCCGGAAAAGCTGATCCCGTTTTCGCTGAATCGCCTTGGAATTCCGAGCGTCGTCCTCGCGAATGAGGTTCTCTATCTTCTGCTTCAGGATTTCCCCCTGATCAGGGGCCAAACTGGAGGTATATATAATTATTACTTAGGTAAGATCATTAAGAAAATTGCATAACATACGAATCCCAAATAATTTCCGAACGCAGACCGCTGCTAAAGCCAAAATCCCTTTGCACTTCGTAGGCCGTGCGGGAGATTTGACTTTCCTCTGCTTCCTCCATGTTCTAGGGTTCCTAGGTCCAGCATAAAATCACGACAGTGAGATATATATTAGGTGTAATACTATTAATTTAGTTTAGATTCTGTAGTTTTATGGCAAATCAATGCTAAAATGTGGCTTTCGTTGCCATGACAATTCAACAAAAAGCTGGCGCCAAATTAGAGATGTGCTCTGCTCGATTGTTAAATTATCGCTGGAACTATCGATTATTGCGAAACTTACCGCGTAATTTAAATTTTAGTTTTTAACTCATATTTTACATATTCTTTGTTAGTCAATTTAAGTAGTTTACCCCTAATTAAATTTTATAAGTTGATTACATTTTAAATTTTTCCTGGTAAAACCCGCTTGTAATCCCGAAACCATTAAACACCACTTTTTTTAAGGTGGTAAGGCTTTATTTATTTATTGTACACTTAAAAGTTAGTCATACAAAAACATTGCAAAGGCCACGGTTAAGTCTGTTTTAGAGTTGGTAGGCAAAAGGGCCACTGGCAAGCGATTTTCGTGGTTAAAAATCATCAACAAGATTAGTTAACAACGCATTAAAAGGTAAAATGAACGTAAATACAGGTATTGCATTGAAGTTGTGAGTCTATCAGTTGGTTAACAATAAAAACATTCGTATATCCTAAGAAAATTCGAACAATTCAAAACTGGCTGCCATTGAAATGGAGTACTAAGGAGTCCTATGACCAACCGCCTGTGAGCTTGTGGAAGAGCTCCTCGTTGAGCGTTTGATTGTTGTCCTTGGAGCGCATCGACATGAAGATGTAGCCGCCGATGAACTCGTGCACCACCTTGCAGTCGGCCGAGTGGCAGGAGAACACGACGTTCTCGTCCTCGAACTGGATCATCATGCACTTGATGTTCCAGTTGACATTCCACGCCTTCATCGTGTTGTAACGCCAGGTCTTGATGTGATCCCCCGAACTCAGATCCATGCGCATGATGCGATTGTGTGCCACGCCCAGCAGCTCCTCCTTGCGATGCCCGTCGAACTTGATGATGAACAGGCTGACGCCGAAATCGGGCAGCGAACGCCAGGCCTGGATGTACTTTAGCTTGGAGTCGAGGGGATTTAAGTCCCTAACATTCGCGTGAGCCTCGAGGATCCGCTGCACTGCCTTGCTGGACAGCTTGCGGTGGATCTTGGGAGACAGGTAATCAACTGCTTCTATAGACCGCGGATCAATGTTCACCGGGACCCCATGCACAGGTCGCTGCATCTGCAGCAGCGAGAGTATACCATCCACTTCGCTCTCGTACGAGCTGTCCGCCAGGGATCTTCCCTTGGCCGCCAGTCGGCAGGCGGCCATCCACTTGGCGTACTGCTGCTCGTTCTCGCAGCGCACCCGCACCTCGCTGTTGGTGCCGTTTCCACTATTTGGAGAGACCTCCAGCCGGATGGCGTACTTGCCCTGCGAGAGATTCACATCTGGGGTGACCTCGCAGCCCTTCAGATTGATGCTGATAGCCGGGGCCACGCGTCGCGACTCCTCGGCGTTCTTGAACAGATGCAAGTGCAGATCGCGGTAGGTGAAGTAATACCGCTTGTAGCCGCGCAGCGTGAATCTCTGCGGCTTCAGGTACCGCAGATAGTCGGAGAGCTCCGGTATGCGCGTGATGTTCCGCGAATCTCCGTTAAAATCCGGTCCCTCCAGCGTAATTTGTAGCTCCTTGAGGGCCGAATCAATCTCATCGTCGTTGTCATTCTCCTGACTCGAGGTCTCGATCCCCGAGTCCACCGGGGGTGCGGAATCCACATGGTGATTCACCTGAAACTGCAGCGCAGCAAACATCAGGCTCTCCTCCTCGGTGCAGTCGAGCTCCTCGTTGAGCACACTCCACTTGGCCTGCTCGTACAGCTGATTGATGCGCACCTGGTCGCAACGGGGATTCAGATCGAAGAAGGTGAAGTACTTGAAGCGCAGGCACAGCGTGTCGTACTCCCGGATGCCCTGCTCCATGATCGAAAGCGACGAGTCCAGCCAGCCCACATTCAGGCGGGCCTTCTCCACCAGCGACTTGGGACGCAGCTGCAGGGCGCGTACATCGGAGCACGGAGTGGGCGGTGAGCTGGCCAGATTCTCCTGAAAGTCACCCAGACTCGAGGAGCTGGAATCGTAGGTGGCGTAGCCCAGCTGACTCTGCTTCCAGGTGCCAGGTGATGGAGAAGCCGAGGCCAAGGGTGATCGTCCCCTGTGATTGTGCGGCGAGAGGGGAGCGCAGAAGAAGGATCCCGGCGCCGAGGGCTTGTCCAGGCTGCCAGTGCTTCCGCCATCCCCGTGAAACGAGGTGCTAATCGGCACAAACGAGTTGGTGTCCGCCGCCGGCTGCAGGTAGGTGGTGCCATCCGGTTCGGCAATGGGCACCCGCTTCTGGTGAGGCACCTGGGCAAAGTTGCGCTTCAGGTGCTCCGCCTCGAGTGGTTTACAAAGGGAGAGCTCCTCCGGATAGCGAATGTCCAGCTGCTTGCAGAGATTAACCACCGCCGAAAAGGTTTTCACAGAGTAGTCCACGCGGCAGTCGAGATACCTCAAATCGGGCAACTGCACCCTTAGTATTTTATGCATGGGCGTGAAGTGCAGCAGGCTATCCGCCTGGACGCCACACTGATCGAGGGTTAATCGCGTCCTGGTGAGCCACACATTCCTGGCGGGCCACCAGAGGGCGTGATCCGACCAGTCCTTCGGATTCTCCGGATCCACCAGCTGCAGCATGATGCCCCCGATGTGCTGGTCACCGCGCACGCGCATCGTCTTCTCCAGCGACAGATCCGTGATGAAGATCCGCAGATTCCACGAGTTCTCGCCGACGTGGATCATGATTGCGCTGTGATGTCACCTGTTCCACTTTCCGAGCTGCTTTTAGGCCGTTTCTAGGTCGTCCTTGGTGGGGCGCCCACTGTAAAATCGAGAGTTTTCCAACGATCGCCGCACAGATGGTCGCCTTATTCGCATTTCCCGCACTGTGACGCAATCCCCGGGTCGCAACTACGCTGCAATTGCGTTGCCTAGGCCGCAATGCTTCCGGATCCGGGCAATTGCAGCGATTCGCTTCGCTTGCGTAAATAGAGCAATCAAAGAAAATTCAGTCCATTGAAAAAGAAAGCGCCGAAACGGAGCAACTGGTTGGGCAGTGATGGTGATTGGTGGTGGACCGATATGTTTATTCACTTTGGAAACATCGATATTTTGCTTTATGATTGTCGAAGATTGGCGCGCACAAATTGTTAAATTCAAATTTATTATTGGTTTCTCGTGTACCCTTTAACATTTATCGAGGAGATAAAGTCCTTTGTGTATCTGATTGCAAATTTTTTCAAATTGCCTGTCGGTAACGCTAATGATTTTCATTTGTTTTAAAGAAACCTAAATATTTTATTTCTCCTTCGTCTCCATTCAGACTATACAATATATATTTAACTGTAGTTTATTTATAGTACTAATTTGTTACTCTTTAATTTTTATTGCAACTTGCAACTTTTATTTAGTAACTGGTAATTTATGGTCGGAAATTAAATTAAAGTCCACTTTAAGATTAATTTGTATACTTTCTTTTCCCTCTCAACACTTTAAGATTAATTTGTATTACACATTTTGTATACTTTCTTTTCCCTCTCAACTAATTTATCCTATTTTATGTTTAAAATTCAATGGGTAACTTAATCCTTACGATTTTTGTACCATACCTTAAAATAAAATTACTTTCCACCACACTCAAAAATTGTTTGACCTAGAACGATTGCTAAAAAATATTCCGTTAGAAAAAATTCCGCAACCGCATTTGCTTGTTGCACGATGGGCTTCGGGCAATCAAATTGAATTCACTTAATTTGAGTTCAATTGGTAAGTGGTCAAATTGAACGGAGACACGCACGGTAATCCCAACAGGTAGCCCTCTATAAAAACTCGGGTTGCTGATACGATTACCAGCATACGATCGATTCGAAATGGGACACTGCAGCTTTCGTCTGGCCACCTCGATGGTGGTTGCTCTGATGTGCACCACCTGCATCCGTGTGAACGGACTGCCCCATCCACCGGCCACCTCGGCGGCTCCGATGATGGAAAGGATGGTGGAAAAGGCCTACGACGACAAGTTCGACAATGTCGATCTGGACGAGATCCTCAACCAGGAGCGGCTGTTGATCAACTACATAAAGTGCCTGGAGGGCACAGGTCCTTGCACACCCGATGCCAAGATGCTGAAGGGTAAGTCCAAGTCCAAATTCCATACGGTTAGTAATACCCATCCACTATTTCTTGATTCCTTGTAGAAATCCTACCCGACGCCATCCAAACCGATTGCACCAAATGCACCGAGAAGCAGCGGTATGGTGCTGAAAAGGTAACTAGGCATCTCATTGACAACCGAGCCGCTGATTGGGAGCGGCTGGAGAAGATCTACGATCCCGAGGGACTGTACCGCATGAAGTACGAGGAGATGAAGGCAAAGGAAGCAAATGAAGCCAAGGAAGCCAAAGAGGAGCGTTAATTAACCTCTAATGTAGGTGTTCAATTTAGTGTTTATTCTGTTTAAATTACCAAATATACTGCAAAGAAGCTTCAAATTCTTGACATTTTTTAAGCAATGGGCTATACGAAAATTAGGGGACCATTAAGAAAAAGTTAAATACTTTGAACTGAAAAAAAAATAATTTAAAAATATTTTTAATAATAATTTGTAAATTTTTTATGGAATTTAAATAGTTTAGTATGAATAGGAAAATAATAATGGATCTAGCATTTTGTTGTTCAGGACACAGTTTAACCAAGTAATCAATAAATTTAAACATCGTACTCTTTAAATGTTTATAAAAATGAATTAGGAATATTTTTAGTCATGTCCCTAAACCCTAAAATAATAATTTGTTTAGCTCAATTAATCGCATTTTTAAAACCCCCTTGCTAAAAAAGTACACGAATCCCATCGATAGTCCGTCAATCGGAGGCGCCATGGCAACCAGTTCCTGGGACCCCCGATTCCGAATCCTGAACTAACCCCAACAACGCAGCAGTCGGCGGAGCAAACAATAAACAAACATCAAACATCAGGCGTAACCACAGCAGCAGGCACTTGGTTTTCAGTTATATTTCGACATCGCCTCGCACCGGCTCTTCCAAACTTTCCCCCCCCAAAAAAAAAAAACACACTGAACATCTGAATTAAGAGCCTCTGAAAAAATTAAAAGCTTCCTCGTGCCAACCCAGTGATATCCGTATCCTCCGGAGCAGCGGCAGGAACTTAGATGGTATCGCCGCGCAAGCCGGCATCGTCCTACGGCCTAAGAGCAAACAATCTGATGGCGTGGGTAGAGTCTAAATTTTGGGGGTTACCCATTAAAACCGAAATCCCTTTTTCAGAGCTTCGGCTAAGAGCTGTGAGAGCCTATTCTCGGCCAGCTCCCGGGAATCGGCCAGTTTGATCTACCAGCGGAGCAAGCCGCCTGCCCAGCAACGTGGCGGAATGAAGGGTTCTGGGAGTAGCCACCCAACGATGTCCTCCTCGCAGAACCACAGCGAGATCCATCAGCGGGTCATGTCGGCGCGGAATCTGCGCGCCAAGACCTTCCAGAACCAACTGGCCGATGCCCAGGCGGAGATCTCCAATTTGGCCCACGAGAATCGCATGCTGCGCACCCTCCACAAGCGCCAGTCTTCGGCGCTAAATAAATACGAGTCCAACAACGCCGAGCTGCCGCAGTTGCTCCACTCGCACGCCGAGGAGCTGCGCGTCTGGCAGACCAAGTACCGCAATCTCCAGGCCGCCAACAAGGACCTCGAGCTGAAGCTCAAGCAGAAGGAGGCCATCATCCTGTCGCTGAGCGATCAGAACAAGCACTACAGCCAGCTCAACAAGGATAAGTAAGTGATTAAGTGGGGGAATTAGTTGAATTTAATTAGTAGTCTCACCTTTGGAATACTTTAAGGACCTATTTTTAGATCCTTTTTATTTCTATATTTTTTAACTTACTTTAAACTTTTACTTTTAAAACTGAATTATTCTCAATTTATTGTATAAATATTAAACCATTAATAATATTCCGTAAGAATAACTTAGTAACCCATTAACTTCATATTTAATTAAAATATATCCCATTTGATTTTCATCCATTTTGGTTTTTATTCATTTTATATTTGGAAAATTTAAATGTAAGAATTTAGATTAATTTAATAATTTTAAAAAACTTTTATTTTAATATGAACAGTTTTTTATTAAATTAAATGGGTACCTTCAGTTATGTATTTTCAAATTAAATCATGCATTAAATAGGACTACTTTTGAATATTCCATTTAAGTTTATTATTCAAATACCAAATTCAATTTTTTTTTTTTTTTAGTGCAACTTGTGTAATTTTACATTGATCAGCCATTATTAATTGCTATAAAACGTATAGTACAAATAGGAACAAATAACTTGAAAACAACAGGATGGCGAGTAACAAATAAATTCAAATTAAATTATGCATTAAATAAGACTAGTTTTCAATATTAAATTAAAGTTTATTATTCAAATACCAAATTGTAAAAAATGTAGATATAACCATTGAAAAAATGCTTTTTTTAAGGATAGGGTTAAATTTATCTCTCGAGAATATTGCGAAGGATATTAAACCTACACCTACAGCTTTAAGAAATATAAAATATATTCACTTCTACGAATATTATTACCTATTTATTCTATTCTTCTATAAAAGAAAGTATCTAATAGTAATCTTTATTCTCATTATTCCATCTTTTATTCAGGAACCTCGACGAACGTCAGAAGCTGCAGGAGAAGCTCAAATCCTTGGAGCAACGTCTGGAGGACAAGGATAACGATATGAAGTTAATGGCCCGGAAAGTTCAATTAGAGTCTAAGAACTTCCGCCAGCAACTGCTCAATGAGCAAAAGAAGGGCAAGGAGGTGATGTTGAAGCTGGAGAAGGCCAGACTAGAGATCAGTGGTTATCGCAAGCTGGAGGAGTACACAGTGAGTATTTCTAAAGGATATATAAAAACAAAAATATACTATTAAATCCAATTTAGCTCGGCACTGATAAGGTAAATCCCCTGTCCTCTGGACGGCGCACCAAGCTAAGCGGCGTCACCGAGGAGCCGGACAAGATCGACAAGTTGGAAAAGTCACTGGAGATGCTGGACAAGGCCATTGAGAAGAACAACCATAGCGAATTCAACGCCTTAACAGACGTTCTGGAATCGGAGTCGTTCTTTGACTTCGAAAAGGACAGTGCCGAGGACAAGAGTGGTCCGAATACGCCACCTGGTCAGCCGGAGCGACAGGCTGGAGGACGTGGCGGCAAGCTCATCCTGCCGCCGGCCACCAACCAAGCCAAGATGGGTCACAACCCGACTCGTTCCACGCTGAGCCAAGTGCTCTCGGCCCAGGGAAAGATTCCCGTCTCCTCCGGCAAGGCTGGTAGATCCAGAATTGGGGTTCCCACCCCCAAGATGGAAAGCAAACGTCGTGAGCCTGAAACTCTGTCCAGAATTGCATCCGCTGAGGTCAAGTCCAAGCAGCAATCGCTGAAATCCCTGGACTACGAGTACGAGGAAGACTATGAGCAGGCTGGTGAAGAAGATGATGAAGAGGATGACGCCTACGGCCTGATGAACAAGATGTGCGAGGAGGGCGAGGATCCAGAGGACAACAGCGAGGAGAATGCCAACGAGGGCAGTCTGGTGAAATATGCCGCCTATTTGGAATCCAAGAGCAGCGAGGGCGATCTTTTGGAAGAGTCGCTGGAGGAGGACGAGGCAACGGATGGTCAGCAGACGCAGCGCAGCGATGATGAGGTAACTACCCATTATAGTTCCCTTTCAGTCATAATCTCAACGAGCTTTTTCCAGTCCCAGGACAACAGTGTCCGTGCTCCGCGTCTAAAAGAAAACATGTCCAGCCTGCGCAAGCAGATCTCGGATGACTACAAGGAGCGCGAGAGATTCCTGAAGACCTTCTGCCGCCAGGCGAGCAACAGCAACATGCGCGACGATCCGGCGCCCAAGAAGAGGAACAGCATCGCTGGAGGAGCGGCGGCCAGTAGCCACATGACCGGCAGCCGCAAGCACGCCCTCTTGGCCGCTCTAAAAACGATCGATGACAACAAGAGCCAGGACTAGAAGTACACCATGTTCCATAGTTCCACACCCGTGTCCAGTTCAAGTTAGTCCCTAAGCGGTGTTGAGTTATATATATATATTTTTCAAGCTGAGACCTCTGCGTCCGGCTCAGTTGGAGCAGCTGCATCGGTGGTTGGGAGCTAGAGGGTTCGAGTCCAGCGGCTGCTGCAGTTGCTCCAGCGCCGGCCGCACGGACGTTGAGTAAATTTTAATAGAAATACACCTGCTTTGTGTACTTAATTAGAAGGAAAAGGTTTTAAAACGAAATTGTCACACATGTTAAAAACATGAAAAATTGTATTTTACAGTGTGAGCAAAATTGTTGCCATGTGTGTCAAATACAAAAGTGTTGAAATGTGACAAATGATAGTTAACATACACAGCTCACTTGTGTTTTTTACACAATGTGTTATTAACACGACGTGTTTTTTACACACTGTGTTTTTAACACAAATGAAAATTACATTTCACTGACATCTTAGTTTTAGGTTTAACCATTTCAAAGCATATATGAATTCTTATACTCTGGAAAAACGTGCATTTTTTAAATTTTGTAATGTCAAAAACTCATTGTGTTAAAAACACGCTCTATAAAAAAACATGTCGTGTTAATAACAAGTCGTGTAAATAACACAAATGACATGTGTGTGTTATTTATGTTTCTAACATATGTAGGATACAATTTTTTACACACAAGTCAATAACTTTTTTTGAACTTAACACTTTGACATTTAACATGTTAATAACACAAGTTGTTTACAGTGTGTGTTGATATAAACATTTTATTTATTACCTAACAATTTTTCCGTAGTTTAACCATCCTTAAAACCGAAACTAGGAAGAGGGCTTTCCCCGCATCTTGCTGATGGCCCGCGACACCTTCTTGCGCAGCTCCTTCTGGCGCCGCTCCTTGGAGGCCATCTTCTCGCGCTTCTTCTCGCGGTAGTTCTTGATCCGCTTCTTCGTCTCCAGGCGCTCGCGATGCCGCTTGTCCTTGTAGTTCGTCTCGATCATCTTCATCATCTTGGCCACCTTCTGTTCGTAGGGAGAATTAACCACGGCCACGCGTTGCAACGCCTCCTTGGGATTCTCGGGGCCCAGCTTCGGCTTGTCCTTGTAGGGAAGCGCCCTTTGGAGGGCCTTCGGAATGGCCAGTGGCCGGAAGATCTTCTCCTTGCGCTCGATCGCCGTGTACATGCTGTCCGGCTGGGCCTCATTCTGCATTGCCCTCTCCCGTTTCAGCTGACCCAGCGTCTTCATGCCCTGCCACTGGCTCTTCTGCTCCAGCGGCAGCAGGAGTGAGGTCACAGGAGCATAGAAACGCGGCACTTCCACGCGGAACCAGGTGCGGCAGAAGACAATGTCGCTCAGGAGAATCTTGTCCTCGAATGTCGCACGATAGGAACCTTCGGGCGTGTGGTGGGCCTTCTTAATCTGTCCCCTTATTCCCGAGACCGTTTTGATCTTGGCTCCCTCGAACTTGGCCACTTCCAGCGACGAGTTGAACATGTCCTTTACAAAGGCCGTCTTCTTGTAGATCTTGAACGGGTGACCCACCAGCTTGAGCTTCTTCATGATCTGCGAGGATTTGTCCAGTTCGGTAACGCAGCCAGTGGCCGCTATCCGGAAGCCCAGCCGACGCATCTCCTCCTGATCCTGGCGCACAGTCTGCAAGGCAAGAAAACCTGTGTTTTGCGGGGTGATGGGACCCCAGAAGGTCATGCTGCAGGTGACGTGGTTCGGTGTGTACTTGAGGTAGCGCTGTCGGAAGTTGTCCTCCACCTTGGCGTAGATGGCCACCGTTTGGAAGCGGCGCCAACCCATCGAGATGATCAGAGGATCTCCAGTTTTGAGAATCTTCTTGTACCAACGATGCTTCTTCACCTTGCAGTTCACATAGCCAACGTTCTCCTCCGTCATATTTAAAGCACCCACCAAAACGGGATAGCTGGCATCGAAGTTCTCCACAAATTCGGCGGGTAGCTGCTTGAATCCCAGGCGTACGTACATTCCCGGTCGATAGCCCTCGATCTGAATGCGGAATTCATTGTCGAGATGCGCAAACTCGCTCTTGTTCAGCTCGCTCTGCCGCTGCGCCTCCGCCTTGAGGTCCTCGTAGAAGGAGTGATCTCCGGTGATGCGACCAGTGTCCTCCTCGCCCTTTCCCTCGCCACTGTTGTCGTACTCCGCATCGAACTTAGCCTTCAGCTTTAGCTTTTTGGCCATTAGCTCGGCCTTCGTAAGGTTCTCCTCCTCAACGCGCGTCATTTTACGCTTGGCTGCCGCGGATTCCGCAGGTTTCGAGCCCTCTTCATCTGATTCTTTACTATCTTCTTGCTTGGGCTTGCCGGTATGCTGCTCGCCCGTCTCCAGATCCTCAAAGTCACCGTACACCTCGCTGTCGGCATCACTCATGTCGTCCATTTTGAGTAGATTCTCCGCATCCTCGCTGGCCTTCCACTTGCCGGTGACGAAGCAGTTCTTGATCAGCTCCTTATTGTCCTCCGCCAGCCAATCGCGAGTGGCATCTATACGTAGAATAGATGGAAGATTAGTATAATTTTGGGAGTTCTTAATTCAGATTAGAGCCCTGCGTGAATCATTCAATTTTTGTTTTATCATAGTATGCCATGAAATTTCTGATTTGTTTAATTCAATTGTATGTGAAATAAATTAAATGTTTTTCTAATTCATTTTGAATTGAATGAATATTTTTTATGAATTTTTTTAATTTGCCAGGTTTTTTGTGCGTTCTTTTGAGAACTAAAAGTAGAAAATTTTTAACAAATCAATGTTAACTGCATAGTAAATAAAATTCAGGCAGATTTAATCACAAAATTTCTTCAAAAGAAATTGTCGTTTAAATTATTTTGGAATTCATGCACTTCATTCATTCATTCAATTCTATTAAACTCAAAATTCAAATTCATTTAATTCTATTAAACTCCAAATTCTAATTAATTAATTCATATGAAACAAAAAATTCAAAATAATTCATTGAATCCATTCATGCAGGGCTCTGAAATTCAGATATTGTACTTACCACCCTGATACTCGAAGAAGCACCGCTCGTCCTTGTCCCGGATGTCCTTGTCCGACTGCTGCTGGCTCTGTTTCTTGGCCGCCACCCGGAATAAACCACCCAGCTCCTCCTCGGAGTCTTCATTCTCCTCTGCCTCCGCCTCCTGTCGGCTACGCTCGCTCTGATTGTAGACACCGTAGACGAGGCGCATCAGATTCTTGGACTCCGAATGGCGCTGGAGGAAGGCATCGCGGGCCTTCTGGGCCAGATTCGTCTTCCAGCTCATGTTGCTGGCTAAAACTCGAGCCTCCTCATCGTCCGAATCGGATTCGTTAGCGGTTTTCACGTTCCCCAGGCTCTGATACTCGTCATCGCCGGAGGAAGCATCCTCAGCATCTTCCTCCTCCTCCTCGCTGTTCTCACCACGCCAATCGTCCGCTCCAAACTCTTCCTGTTCCTCTTCACTCTCAGCAGCTTCGAGACCGGAGTCTTCGCCCTCTTCATCCTCATCTTCATCCTCATCCTCGCTGCTCTCTGCCTCCTCCTCCTCCCGATCGTTGCGAAAGTCCTTTGACTTAATGGGCTTGGCATCCGAGAAAAGACGGAACTCCTGCTGCTCCATCTGCTCATCGATGGTTGCTTTTTTATCAATCAGCTTGCCGACGAGTTCCGCCTGCTCGGCGGCCTCTGCCGACTGCTCCTGCTCCTTGTGCGAGTGCGAGCCCTGCAGCTCGATGTACACCGCATCCTTGTCATAGACTATACCACCCACTCCGGACATGGGAGCATAGAGCAGACGCTCCTTCTCCAGCAGACTGCGCTTCTTTTCTGTCCCTGGAAGAGGACACGGATCGGGTATGTTGCTCAGCTCATCGATGCGGGCATCCCCGAGTCCAGCGATGTGAACCATGTGCTCCTGCTTGAGAGGAACTCCTCTCACATAGCCGTAGAGCACCACCTCCCGATCGCACTTGGGATCTCGACGCACGCGATCCGTGTTAGTGACATCCTCCAGGCGATCCACCAGCAGATAACTATGTGCCCCTCGCCACTGCAGCGGTCGGAACTTCATCACCGAGATGAAGCGTCCCAGGTTCTTGACCTCATTCCTTAGATACTCGCCGTGGATCAGGCCGGAAAGATAGAAGAGCTTCGCTCCATCGTAGACCTCCGTCCAGAAGCGGTGCTTCAGCTCCTTCTTGCGCTTCCTTAGCTGCTTAGGATTCTTGATCATGTCCAGGTGGGTCAGTACGCCCATGATCTTGGGCATGCCGTGCACCTGGCAGATGTTCAGGAACTCGAAGATCTCCATTTCGAAGCCATAGCTTGCATCGCAGAGCAGGAGCACCAGATCCGCGCACTTGGCCACATCGATCATGGAGTTCACATCGTTGTTGCACTCCAGCAGGGTGATCCGTCGCTTCTTGGAGGTCACAATCGTGATGGGTCCCTTGATATCCGTGACATTCGTGCGGGTGAAGCTCTTGATTAGGTTCTTGATCAGCGTGGTCTTGCCCACTTTGGGTGGACCCACCACGGCTATGAGCACCGGAGGCGGTACATCGGGGGTTTGGTCCACCAGCGGAATATGCTGCTTCTTGGCCGTGAGATCCTCCTTGCGTCGGAAGTTCCGCTCCGCCCGCTGCGCCGAGTTGATGGCGAATGCCTTGGGATTCCGCTGCCTGGCGGTCAGCTCGGGCTCCTTTTGGTTGGAGTCCTTCTTCGCCTTCAGCTTCTTCTTGTCCGCCTTCACGCCGGACTGGCGGGCGCGGTGCTGCTTGCGCTTGTCCTGGCCGGCATCGTCGGCCATTATTAAAGCGATTTAAAACCTCGAATTATCAAAATTATTCCCTGTTTACGCGCTGCACGTGGAGGTCGGTCAAATACTGCCGTTAAAATACCACAACGCAATTTGAAAAAAAAAAATACTAAAAAACTAATTTCGAATTATAAATTCTGGAAAACATTTATTTTTTAGTACCCCCTTAAAAAATAATATATTTAAGATTACAATTAGCAAATATTTTTTTTATTTTAAACACAGAATGAACCAATTTTGGGAAGTCATGCTTTTACTTAGCTCTTTTGTATTTGACAGCAATAATTCTACACAATTTCTAAAAAATTCTGAGACCACATCTGTCTGTTTTGTTTTTTAAATGTTTATTACATTTATTAAAATGTAAATACCATTGCAGTACGAATTCGTGACCGTGACTCCCATCGCTAGTGGTATTTTTCCAAGTCCCATCACCAGCGGCGTTTCGCTGTGAGCGCTTTTTCGGTATTTCGCCCCATATACGGTCTCACTTTTGCACTGTGGATTTTTCGCAATTTGATATTAATTTTATTCGATCGGCACGGGCAAAATGTTTTGCACACAGATCGGCAGGCCTTAAGCCCCTCAAGTTGAACGCGATTCCGTTGGCACCTGCACTTATTTCACCTGCGCAGGTGAAGAGCGAGGAAAGTGAGGCCAGGCAATCAGAGCCCTGGTGAAACAGAGGCGCCGAAGGAGTGGTGAAGAAGGGGGAGGAGCAGAGGCGGCTGAAGGCAAAAGTCTTTTAAGGCGAACCAACACAAAAGCCAGGTAACTAAAGGTAAAATCTGGGAAATCGGATGAAAAGCAGAGGCTTTCAGCCGGTATAAAGGGGGTTTACTTTCCGGAGGGGGAGTTGAAGGGTGGAGAAGGACAGTGGGTGGTGCTGCCCCCCTTGCAAACTCTTCCTCCGCCGACCTTGCCCTTCTATCGATTTCCGAAAAATTGCATCAAGCCAGATGCACACAGAAAATCACAGCTGAAGGTTAAACTTTTCTATCGGATCAGGGCCAAAACCAAAAACACCACCACCGACCGATTTCTTTATTCTTTGTTCTTCACGAGGCGTAGAAAAAATCAAGAATAAAGAAACAGCCAGCCCCTCATATATACATATATACGTATATATGTACATAGCTAAAAAGCGACTGGCATACATTATTTCTTGTAATATATGCTCAAAAAAAAACGCCATGGCCCAGGGCCATTTACCTTTCGTTTTGCAGGCATGGAGAGTCCTTGTGAGTCGGAAAGTTCGCTGGACGGCGGCACCATGCTGCCCCCGAGTCCAGTTTCCCGGGAGCAGCTCCAGAAGAGGATCGAATCGCTGACTCAGCAGAACAAGTAACTTACCCCCTAGACAAATGTATATTTTCCCTGAATTCATACGATTCTACGCTTCTAGGGTGCTGAAAGCCGAGCTGGACACCTTCAAGACCAAGTGCAAGGTGGTGCAGGAGGAGAATCGCTGCCTCAAGCAGGCCTCGGTTATCATTGTTAGTATAATCTATTATTTTTAGAAGAAAAAATAATATTTTACACTACATATCTGTAGCAATCAAAGTTATTTATTCGAAACTACTGTAAAAAGCAGGGACTGTAAATAATCGTGTTTTGAGATTTTTATTTTAAAAGGCCCACTGAGATTTTTACAAGTTTTAATCAACAATTTAACTGGTTTCTATGCACTTTATAGACATACCCAAATAGAATAGAATAGAACCAAATAGAATCAATGCCTCAAACAGGCCTCTGTCATTATTGTTAGTATAATCTATTATTTTTAGAAGTAAAAATAATATTTTATTATGCATATCTGTAGCAATCAAAGTTATTTATTCAAAACTACTGTAAAAAGCAGGGACCGTAAATCGTTTTTTGATATTTTTATTTTAAAAGGCCCACTGAGATTTTTACAAGTTTTAATCAATAATTTAACTGGTTTCTATGCACTTTATAAACATAACCAAATAGAATAGAATAGAACCAAATAGAATTGAGGCCTTAGACAAGCCTCTGTCATCATTGTTAGTATAATCTATTATTTTTAGAAGTAAAAATAACATTATACAAAACATATCTGTAGCAATCAAAAAAAGCAGGGACTGTAAATAATTGTTATTAGATATTTTTATTTTAAAAGGCCTGCTGAGTTTTGTACAAATTTTTATCAACAATTTAACAGGTTTTTATGCACTTTTTTAGACATGAACAAGAGTAAAAATACGTTATTTTTGAAGTTTAAATCAAAATATCACAGTAGTATAAAAATCTCAAATAAAGATTACTTAAAGATTACTTAGGATCCCTGGTAAAAAGTTAAATTAATGAGAAAATAATATGCATTTCCTCAACCCCCAGCAAGCCAAAGCCGAGCAGGAGGAGGAGTACATCTCGAACACGCTACTCAAGAAGATCCAGGCCCTCAAGAAGGAGAAGGAGACTCTGGCGCATCACTACGAGCGCGAGGAGGAGTGCCTGACCAACGATCTCTCCCGGAAGCTCGACCAGCTGCGCCAGGAGAAGTGCAAGCTGGAGCAGACGCTCGAGCAGGAGCAGGAATGCCTCGTGAACAAGCTGATGCGCAAGATCGAGAAGCTGCAGGCGGAGACGGACAACAAGCAGACGAACCTGGAGCAGCTGCGCCGCGAAATGGTCGAGCTGGAGAACACACTGGAGCAGGAGCAAGAGGCGCTCGTCAATAAGCTGTGGAAGCGCATGGACAAGCTGGAGACCGAGAAGCGTTCGTTGCAGATCAAGCTAGACCAGCCCGTCTCCGATCCAACCACTCCACGTGACATCACAAACAATGCCCATGCCAATGGCGGCGATACGGCCACCAGTTTGAGTGCCCACATCCAGATTCTGCGCTCCGAGGTGCTGCGCTATCGTTCCGATCTGGCCGCCGCCCAGAAGGAGGCCACCATCAAGACGCAGCAGTATGCGCAGGAGGAGAAATCGATACGCGAGGAGAACGCCCGCTTGCAGCGCAAGCTCAAGCAGGAGGTGGAGCGCCGTGAGGCTCTGTGCCGGCACCTCTCCGAGTCCGAATCCTCGCTGGAAATGGACGAGGAGCGTTTCTACAATGAGAACTTGATGGCTGGCGGCTCCTTTGCGGCGGCCGCAGCCTCGGCGGTCAGCGCCCAGCGGCAGCGGACCATCAGCAGTCCCGTCTCGCACAGTCCCTCGAGTAGCCGACCGCTCAGTCCGGGCACGGCGGCCCAGAACCGCTGCTACGCCTGCGGCCAGCTAGTGGTGAGTTCGGTACATCATTTTCTCACTTCACTGCTTAGTAGATTTCATTATTTTCCCTCCAGAACCGTCGCGCCAGCGAGCGCTTCATCAAGCCAGCACTGCCAACGCCCATGCTGGGCCTAAACACTTCCGCACCCAACGTGCTGACCTCCACGAACCCGCTGCTCGGCATTCTGGGCACCGGCAGCTCCTCCTCGTCGGCGTCTGTGTCAGCCGGGAATGCCGCTGGCGGCTTTCTCTCGAATCTGGGCGGTGAACGTCTGAGCCTGGGTTCCATGCCTTCTTCTGGCGGCAGTGCCACCTTTTTGGCTGGCGGCGGCGGAGGAGTAGGATTGCTGGCCCAGCTCACAAACAACTCGAGCGCCTCGTCGTCGTCGTCCAACCTGATGAACATCAGCCTGAACAACTCGTCCAGCGGCAACCTGGTCAACAGCAGCAGCAACTCCTCACTGTCGGCATTTACGCCCACCAATCCGCCCAGCTCGGCGGCCACGGCCTTCATCCAGCCGGCCAGTCCCATGGACACGTCCACCTGCAAGGATTAGGCGGACGCAGTTGCTCTCCAGCGGGGAAATCATGACTTATTTTCACTCTCACACTAAAACACGAAAAAAAACACAACACTCTATTCATAAACACGCACGCATGCAAGCAACCAACCAGTTTAACGACCCTAAAAACATAAGAAAAACACAGAAACAAAAGATGAGAAAGTAACTATCGTAAGCTTCTCCAAGGCGCGACTCAAAGTCGCCTCATTTATATATGGTTAATATGTATATGTATGTTCTATTTGATCAAAATCTCTTAAAAACCTTTCAATATCGGAATTCCTAGGCGAACGAATATTTAACGCTAATGTTTAAGACTTAAATGTTTTCTACTTTCGCTCGGTTCCAGTTAAAGTTAAGTGAAACACGGCAGATTATGAGGACTCGGAGGATATATAGACGAGGGAATGGACAGCGCAGGCTAGCCAGATCGTATGAATTTATAAAAGCGGTGAATTCTATTCATGTCGAAACCATTTTCCCACAATTCCTTCGCATGTGGGCCTAAAATTTTGAAGTATGTTTATGTAAGCCAACAAAAATAAAGTTCAACAATTTAAAATTAAACTAATTTGGTGAAATTTGAGCTCAATTTTAGTCATATTTTTATTACTTAGCTCATAATTAAAGTTCATAATTTGGTTTTGTAAGATTACCGACTACTTAATTCAAATAACCGTTACACAAACTCCAACCGGTGAGGCAATACTTGAAATAATCCTAACATCATCAGTACCCATTATTTTAACAGTTTAGGGAATACCCTGAATAATTTCTTTGTTAATTCTTTCTGTTAATTTAAATTAGCTCAATTTTTGCGCCAAAAAACTAACAAAACAGGCCACAGGGTGATTCAGGGTGAAATTCATGAGTAAAAAATCGGTTGGCAGCGCGCTAAAAAGTCAGTTGGCAGCGCCACGCCAGCCGCGGCCAACTTCGCGTTGCAAAATGCTCTTGTTGGTGTTGTTGTTCTTGTGTTTGTGATTGTAAATAAAGGCCAAACAGTCAGCGCGAAACGTTAAAAGCAACCTTTGGGCCTGGCCAGAATGTAACACCTCTCCACCAAGAGCAAACAGCGAACGTAAGCGTAAAGTGTTCAATTAAGCCAAGTGACTTGACTTTGTTCGGAGCAGCGAAAGAGAGACGGTGAAATAAATGTGGGCAGGAAGTGGGAAGTGCGATGAACGACAACAAAAAAAGTGTGTATTGGCCAAAAGAAGCTCGCATTGGTAGCAACACAAAACCATTCTCACACACACGACACGGCGCTCTTTAAACGCTGCCGCGCTCTCTCTCCCTCTCTCTATCATTTTCTCACATTTAAACGACTGCGACGCGTCTCTTGCAAACTTTTTAAAGCGGACGCCAGCGATATTCGGTTCTCATTTCGATGTGGAACGGTAAAGAACCTGTGTCGCTTCCGCCGCGATTCGCGAAAATAACACAAAAATAGCCATTATATTTTTGCTCAATCAAATAAAAGCCACTTCAACGGTGGTATATGTGTGTGTACAGGAAGAGATCGGATAGATCAGAAGCAGTGCAAGAAAGAAAAGTGCAAAGCGAAAGTTTTGATTGTGCAGCATCCGCCATCTCGCTCTGGCAGGCGCGCGTGTAACGGTAAACGCCTCTCACACCTCTCACGCCTCTCCCGCCCCAACAACAAAGTCAGCAACACATTCCAAGGAAAGCGAAAAGTGCGCGCTTGTGTGTGTCTGTGCTTTATTTCCATTTAAAAAAAAAACAACAAATTCAATATTCAATCTTTGATTTCGATTTCGATTGGCCAGATGTGTTTATTAAATGATTGCGCACACTGTGTGTTATTATGGCCTTATTGAATAAACTCTTCTTTCCGTCGGCAACACCAACAACACCCGCGAATTTAGCGGCAGCGCCCACGCTGACCGCAGCGTCCGCAGCAGCAGCAGCGGCAGCGTTAATTAATAACCAAACAACAATACCAACAACTACAGGAACAGCAACAACAACAACAGTGCCGGCGCGGACAACTCACGCCTCTGCCGGCGTCGCTGCCTCTGCCGGCAATAGTTCGTCGTCCGCAAAAGCTACAAAACAAACTTCGCGAAATTATCTAAGGTAAGTGTTTATCTGTTTGACAACAACACAAAAAACTAACACCCGGTATTAGTGTATCGATATAAAATGCGCGCACAACAAAAGAAAAAGAGGTGCAGCTGCAAACGCTCACACAAATGCCTGCATACATGCGAAAAGGCGTTCTCATGATGCGTTTCACACTCACCTATGCCCCTCCCCCACCCCGTTCTCTCGTTTGCACTACCTGCGCTTCCTCTTCCTCTTCTCTTTGTTCGTACGCAAATTGGCAAAGCGTAAAACGAGGACGATAACCCAGCACACAAATTCGGCATGCACTAGTCAGCGTCACGTACGCCGCCTGCCGCCTATTTCGATATGATCTTAAAATCAATGGCCAAAAAACCGAACCGAAAGACCATTGAATGCTAAATATTGAGGGATTACAAAGATGCAGTTTGCAGCTGTTCCGAATACGTCACAAAGAAGGCGCATTATCATGGTCCCTTTTCGTTGCCTTGTAAGAACGACAGTGGGTTCTTCTTAAAGAGCACCCGGGTTACCTGAAATGTTTCCATTTGCAGTTGCTAATCTACATTACATGCTTTAATTTTAATCCGAAAACGATTTGTTTGAAACTAAATTTCCAGATGCTCTTTGGTAGGATGAGAAATGGTTGTATGATGTATTGATCTGTCTGAACCTGGATACATTTTCTGTTAAATGCTTTTTCATTTGTGGCTAGAACTCTAATGTTTTAACAAATTAGGGATATAATTCTTTTTTTTTTTTAAGTTTTTGGACTATTTATAATTGAATTATCGCAGACCTTTATTTTTGGCCTTGTCTTGGCCACATATGGCTGCTCCACTGTATATCGATAACGATAGCCTGCATAGCTCCAAGAACAACAACAAGCCCTAAATCACCCAACACCCCCAGCAGTGCATATTGGGTAGTCACGGTGGGTGCATGTGAGCGAGTAGATGCGTTGATGTTTGGCTGTTGCCGTTTCTTTCGCTCGCATGGCTCCACACCCATCGATTGAGCTGCGCGCGCAAATAACTGTGCCCCACTATGCTCTGCCTCTCCCCACGCTCTTCCCCCCTTCCGAAACCGAACGTTTCGTTCTCGGTTCGGCTCTCTTCGCTATCGCTTCGTGAATGTTTCGTGAGCTAGCCCTCTCGCTCGCACTCCCGCAGACGTGGGCATACGCCTATGGGCTGGCGCGGGGGCGTGGTGGGGGGAGGCGGCGGCAACGTCAGGCGCAAATGTAAATAAAAGCGAATCACATGACTTGCTAATCGGCGGTCGCGGCCTGCTCTCGTGATTATTATGTCATACACATTTTGTTGTTGGCGCTGCGCATTGTTTTTGTTGCTCCTCGCTTAATTCATTTCATTATTATTTATTACACTATTTACTTATGCTGCTGCATACGCTTTACAATGTTGATTTTTGACACTTTACGCGGCTTGTGCGTGGGTTCTGATTGTTGTTTTGGTTCCTGTTGTTGTGACTGCGAGTGTGTCTGTGACTGTGATTGCGGGGCAGAAACAGCGGGATGCTCTGTTAACTGTTAACGGTTAACTGGCGGACACACCCACGTCCGCTTTTCTAGGAATGCTGTGATTCCGACACCTTTTACAATTTCCTATGTATGACATTTTTGCGAAATCAAAACGGATAAGATTACAGTTCTCCGAAAACCTATTTATTTATTTGTTTATTCCTACGAAGGTGTCGATGTGCATAAAGTTGGCAAAACAATCTTTGAGTTTTAGGGTTTGTTTGAGGTATATTTATTTAGTCATTAGTTCACCGAAATGTTAATGTTTGTTTTTATATTCTATTTTGCTTTAAAATTTCATCGGAATCTTCGTTGTACTTTACACTGGCCACGTCCGATTTCTTGTGAAAGTTTATTTATTCATTTAGTCTTGGTTTTTTTCGGGTATATTCTATTTAATCAAAGTTTTAAAAAATGTTAGATCTTCAGTATTTAAATATAAATTTTGTTTTTCAGTGTCAACATTTCTATTTCTATCAAAGAATTCCAAATCATTTAATTCTGATAACAATCTAACCCCACATTTTTGACTACTCACGATGATAATACCCACCACAGATACCAAACCTTTTTCGATATGCAAAAAAAGGCTAATTGATGACAAGTACCACTGACATTTGTTGACGGTGTCCATAAAATATTTCAATCGTTTTCCCATTTATTTTTTGGGTCCCCTAATCTGAGGGCCCCCGTTGCCCGGCTAACTCGATTAGCGCCTCGTCCACACTGTCAATCGGCCGCCTTATCGGTCAGACGCCGAGCTGGCATTTAAAATATATATGGAGTAATGGTGAAATTGTCAGATTCGAGTGTGTATTGACCAATATTCGGGGCTGTATATACATTTATGGCCGCGCTTGTCGCCAACATTCGCCATCGCCATCACGTGATAGAAACTTTTCACTCTGCTAATTAAGCGCCGCCAGCTTTTGGGGTTTTTGCACTTTGCCCGCAAACACTCGCTCTCACACTTGGCGAATAATACTAATAATAATAAAAATACAAAACCTGTAAAGTGTAGACAGCCGGCCCGACTAACTCCCCCTCAAAAGGCCCCCGAAACACCCCCTTTTCGACGCTTTATCTTTGTACTAGGTCAGGTTTTTTTCGGATTCGCTGTAAACTAAACAAACGTTTACACTAATAGCGGTTAAAAACTCCACTCGGGCCAAATACATTTATTTGTTTATTTGCTTAATTTAGTTGGGTGACGGCAATAAATTACGGCAGCACGCTTGGGTAAATTTCCACGACAGAATCTGAACCTCCACTTATCGTTCATATTTCCAACGGGCCCCAAAAGAAATGATTTAAAAATACTTTCGGTCTCTGATAGGCCGAGAGCTAAGAATAAAAAAGAGCTGGCGAAAAACAAGCGGCGAAAAGCGCTGACACTTGTGTATATTAAAGAAATGGTGAAATGCTGGAAATCAAGGTCTGGAAATTCGAAGTGATTCAGCCGCGCGGGGAGGGTGAATCATTTCCTTTGGACCCCGGCGTGACCATGTTTAGACATTTGCTAGCCAGTTGGTCACATGACAGTTTTTTTTGCTGCTAAATTTTGCCCCGATATATGCATGATATAAAAGCAAAAAAAATCCAAAAAATCCAAAACCAGACATTTGGCATCATGTGCCTTTGAAGGCGCGCATTCCTTAACCCAATTCGCAAGTCATTCACATTCGTATTCGCATTCGCATTCGCCCGATATCCAGCACATATGGCGTCCAAAAATACATATAGCCGTTATTAGCGAGCTGGTATTAATTCCCGATAAGTTCGGGGATTTCAGGCTATAGGCTATATACAAACTGTGATTTCATACACCCCTCGAAGCTCTGGTACTCATGTGCACAATCGCCTCGCGATCTACAAAGTGCGATTCGCAATCTGTCGATCGTTTCGACTTTCACATGAATTCGAGTCCCAGTCAGCCAGCCAGCTACGCAAATCAAGGGAATTAGCACCTTTTGTGGAAAACTTTGGCCCAACAAAGTCTCATTATGATCGGTGGACCAGGGGCTTCAGGCACGTGTGAAACACAATAAAATACGCGTTCGATTGGCGATCAAACAAAGCCACACATATCAATCTTCCACACAACACTAAAAAAAAAAATAACAAAAATCAAAATCACCGCTCTGAATGAACCATTATGGATGATTTCACTTAGAGCCTTAGGCAAATGAGTCGTAAATTGGGAGGGAATGAGAATTCATTAATAGTTTTTGATATTTGATAACTGCCCGCCAATTGAATGGCCAAACAATCGCCGGCCGGCCAGACATCAATCAAAGTGGTTCGCAGCAGGTGTGAACTTATTACATGGGCCGTAACGTTACGATCCGTCGAGCCGTAAGGTAATAGAGTAGTATAGTAATAGACCAGGTGCCAACGTGTCTGGCTCTAGTTTTTCTGGCCGTGGGCCACATGTCAGGAGAGGTGTTATACCCATCACACCAAACAGCGAACCCCCAGTCCCGATTCCCCGATTCCCCCCGATTCCCATTATCATCGCCATCAGTGCAATTAAATATGTACGCGTATGACTGCGGCGGAGAAGTCGGCACACAAACTTTAGTTATGTGCAAACAGAAATCAGCACATTTAAATGGCAGCGTTTCGAGTGGAAAGGGGCGATGTGTGTGCTTCATGTGCGAAGTCGCGTGGTCTGCCAAGTCATATGAGTAGTGAATCGTCGGCGACGACGTCGCGTATCCAGTTTTTGTTGTTGCCTCGGGACCCGTTCCGATAGCAGATGCACTCGGAAAAACAATGTATATTTTATTAGATTTAAAATAGGGATTCAGTAAACAAAATTCCAAGGGAATCCAATCTTTTTTACTTACCTAATTTTCTTAATTAATTTAATTATTTTTTCTTTATTTTATATTCCATATATTTTTTAATTATTTAGAAAAGAATTAAATATATATTAATTTAGTGTTAATTTAATTATCAACAAAAGAACTCTATCGCATACAAATGAAATATTTCAAGCTATAGCAAAGTATTTCCGGTCAAGGCCGAATTTTTCCTTATTTTACTTCTTATAGATCTCAAGTACTTTTTTGGTAAAGCGAAATTACAAAACAAGTTTGTAAAGCCCAGAGTGCTTGATAACTTAATCGGATTACCATTGAACTTCAATATTTTGAACTTGAATAGTAAATAAAACAAAATAATTCTATTATTGAGCCATCAATGCCATTTATTGTTGGAAAAGGCCTGTTATAAACACGTTCCTAACTACGATGTTAGATGCCAGTAATGAGATTTAATAATTATAGGAATTCTTTGTATTTTCACTCTATTTTTTTGCCAGTGTAGACGGCAGCGCTTCTCTGTCTGTGGACTGGCCCTGTTGTCACCCATTATCAGTTGACAAAACGCTTTTATTTTCCACCGCCCCATATCAATAAGCAGGGCAAACAAAATAAGAGCCCAAAGTGCCTAAGCCGAGAGCTCCATT